CTCCTCACAAGAAGACTGCCAAACAGCATCTGCTCCAACAGCATCTGCTCCAGCAGATTCAGACCTCTGGGAGACAAGGGAATACCATTGTAGTCCTAACCACAGTTCAGCCTCTTTCTAAAGGGTACTAGGTTCACATGCTTTTCTAATCACTTTTGGAAATTAACTGTTTTTTTCAACTATTACGAACCTTCAGAATGGCAAATTTGATACAGTGAATGAGTTTCCTTCAGCAAGAAAAGTTTTAAATATAATTAAGAATTTTTTAAAATTCTGGGGAATGGGGGGTAAACAGCAAAAGACTGATTAGAATGAGTTTGAAAAGTTATAAGCAGACTAGGGTCCAGATGGATTTAAATTAAGATTTTGAAATTAATTATGAGAATCCTTCCCTTGGGAAAATGTTGTTTTGAATTCATAAAAAAAAAATAGGATGAAACTTCAAAGGTTGGCCGCTAGAAGGAACTAGAAGGAACTAAATATTACAATTAAAGGAAAAGAACATTTAAATTAGGCTTACTAATATAGAATGGAGCAAAATACTTTAACATTGGATTTTATATGTGAACAATGGACCCAGAAATTAATATAAATATTATCTGCCATTATAGATAGACTGGGTTTAAAAGGTGTTATGTCAAAAAACAAGTTTTACTGGACAAGATTGAAAGTACCTGAAAGTGGATTTTAAAATTACAAGTTAAAGAATGATATAGAAAAACATGCTCATTGGATATAGAAATGAATCTGATTCATGTCTTAATAATTAAAAGTGGTATACAAATAACAAACCAAAAGAATAATCTGAATAGCTTTCCTATACTGAATTTACAAAAAAGACTTGTTAAAGAACTTCGTGAGAAGGGACAACAAAAAATAAATAAAAAGAAATCAAGTTCTAAAATGTTCTTTGAAAGAACTAAAGATTAAGATTGTTAAAAGTAAAAGGAAGGATATAAAGTTGGTTTATTTGGTCAAGGTTAAAAGATATGTTATCTCTGATAAACCTTAATGGACTTTTGCTGATCAAGTCTGAACAATGAGATTTTTAGATTTTGTTTATGATAAGATAGGAGATATGAGAAGGAGAAATCATTTGATGCTCTGTTTCTTGAAGTTCAGCAAAATTGATTCTTCCTGACTTTACCAGACCCTTCTCCTCTCTCAGATCCTGTTAATTTCTTACTCATTATGAAGTGTGTGTGTGTGTAGGTTTTCTAGACGATATCATGGGTTTTGTGGGAGGGCTGTGTGAAATGACTTGTGGTATGGATTTATTTCCTGCTTTATGCTTGTTGCATGGTTATGCACCTGAACTACTGTTTGATGTGAAGCTCCTTGGGCTGGATGTTGAGATTCTACTAAAAAGCCATCTGGGTTATACATCCTACTTATCTGTAACATAAGAGAAATACCTGAGACTGTAACACTGCCATGGTTTGGGGATTGTTATGTGTGTTGGACCTGGTCTTTGGGTGTTAAGTGAACTTCGTTGTATGGGTATACTGTGTTATAACCTCCTTCTCTTGTTGTTTTCTAGCAGCTGTTTTTAAGATGTGCTGTTGGTGAACAGGAGGTGAAAAACAACCATCAAGATTACTAGCTGTAGATTGTTCAGTCCTCCACAAATTTGTATAATTCCCCCTTTAAAAATCTCAAGGGGTGTCGGTCAGAGTGAACTAAATTTACATGGCAGCAAATTTCAGTTGTATGTAGAAAAGTATTTCTTTTTAATTGGCCCTGAATCTCCTCGAATTTAGCTTAATTACCATTTCTGAAAGAAAGAATAGCTTGTAAAAGCTTGTACAAATGTATTCACATTTTTTATATTGGGCAAAAGTGTTTACACTTCCATCAGGTTGGATAGGGTGGGCAGGCCCCTTCTCTTAAATGTTGCCATCTATTGGGACCTAGGAAGTGTTCCTTTTTCCATAGCAGCCCCTCCCCTGTGGAATGCCCCTTCCCCATGAGAACAAGCAGGCTCCACCTCTTAGCCATCTGGAAATATGTAAAGTGCCAACTCTTCTCCCAAGTATTGGGTAAAATGAGGTTAGAGTCAGTTTGATATTGTCGGATGCATCAGGAAAGGATGGGTTAGGTGCCAGGTTTAGAGTTTATTTTTGGCTTTTGTTGTACATCCAGAGTTGTGTATCTAAATATAGACAGTCATATAAGTCTTATCAATCAATCAATCAATCAATCAATCCCTTATCTGCTTTCATCCCTATTTAAAAGCCCCAAATGCAGTTATTGTCTCTGGGACTGTAGCCCAGCAGTTCTCAGCTAGGGGCCATAAGGAGGCCCACAGGTGAAAAACTACAGCAGTGACATTTGTCATTGTGGTTCCCATTCACCATTAGACAGATCCTTTTGGATATCTTCCCAGTTGCTTTTTGTGAGCAGTTTTGTATCAAGATTAAACTGGGCCCACTGACTATCTCTAGCACTAACTTCCTTTACTGGACCCAGCCTAGTTTGATCATTCCTTCAATCTGAGAACTCTCCATTTATCCTTATTTTCTGGGCCCATTGTTTCTCAACCTTGACTACTTTAAGATACAGTGTATGGTTTCAATTCCCAGAATTCCCCAGCCTGCATATCTTAAAGTTGCCAAGCTTGAGAAACAGAAACACTGGTCTGGGCCAATCCTGTGGACTCAGAAACACATGGAAGTCTAGCGGCTTGTTTTATAAACAATAGAAAAAGGAAAAATCCATCTGTTCAGGCAACCAGCCAAATTAGGGACAGTTTTTTTTTTTTTAAGCCCTCTGTTTGCTTGTGAAAAGCAGTCCAAGCAGCACAGCAAGCATCCTCAATGGAGACGTCTCCATTGATCTGGGACCCAGGGCCACTCGGCTTGCTTTATGGTTATATTCAAAGTTTGAACATAAAATGCATTGAATCTGCATTTTCATATTGCTGTACAATACAAAAGAATTCTCCTTATCCTAATTCATTGTAAGTTAGAGGAAGCACATAAATTCCCATTAAGAGTCGACTACAGGTTTGAATTGGGTGTTTTTTTAATTGTGTTTCTCAGTGCAGAGTGATTGCCAAGATGCTTTATATTAAAAATAAAGCAAGTGCAGTGACTGCTTATACTCCTTTCAGTTTTGCTGTTGTATATTCTGCAAATTTTTAATTCTAACATGTAATGGTAGGTTCTTGTGCAAATTAATAAAAATAAAAATATGCATGTTGCAATTCCAAATGTTCTGTTTTCTGCCCCAATTTCATGATGCAAATATTCAAAAGTGTGCTGAAAAGAATTCTTCACTTGTAGAAGTAATGCTTTTCACAATAATAATGCAGTTTGAATAAAATTCAAGTTTTGCGCAAGGAGAGCTGCTGGGATAGTCCATTCTGCACCGTAGTGCAAGTGAGCAGGGAAAATAATGACTTGTTTCATGGCTGTTTCGGAAATCCACATTTCCCTTTCCAGCCTATGAAGTTAACTCTATTAAAATGCATGCAGCCTTTGTAAATTCTAAAGCATGCTGCATGACACATCATTCTGAGCTTGGGGTTGTTTTTTTTTTAGAGTACCATGCAGTTTGTATATTATAATTAGACTTGCATCATCTGTGACATTATCAAAGGACAAGAATTAGTGACAGTAATATTAATCCATCTTTTCATTCAGCTTGTACCATAGCACTGTTAAACTAGCTGTTTTCGGTATACCATATTTTCCTTTTTCTTCCCCTTATTTGCTGCTTTACTGATTTTCATGCAACTATAAAATATAGATTCTTATTTTCAATAGAATATGCTGCACATCTCTTTTTTATCCAAGTTTCAGTTTACAAGAGCTAAGTCCCAGGTTAAATTCCCAAGTCCAATGTATTTATTGCATATGTAACTCAGATTTTTTCCAATGAACTATAGGTTGCATTCGTATTCTCCTCCCTCCTTTCATTTACCCTTGAAACAATCTTGTGAAGTTCATTAAGCTAAGGCAGCAACTGACAGCTGGCTCAAGGATGCCCAGTGAATTGTCTATAATTGATTAGGAATAATCATTATAACTTTGCTTTAAGTATTTTAAACCAGGAATGGGAAATCTGTAGTTCTTCAAGTGCTGTTGAACTACAGCTGCTTAGTAGCCCAACCTAGCCCAATGTACTACAGTCTCCCTATCTTATTATATTAAACTGCCTTCTCATTGTATAACCTCAAAAGATAAACAGACGAACACCCTCACTATATGGTCCCAAAGTGTGCATTGCCATGATCTCCATCTTTGATCATCTTCCTGAGACTGCTCCTATCCTTAACATAAGGAATGGGCATCCAATACATTTGGAGGCTGTAGAAGCTAGGCCAGACATATGCAGTAAATGTCCTTCAGTTATTGTTCTCAACTCTTGTTAACATACACTAGCTTAGCAATTGAAGGGGCTTGGACTATGCAAGAGCACTGTCTACAGCAGAAGTCTTCAAACTTGGCATAGCTGGCTGGAGAATTCTGGGAGTTGAAGTCCACAAGTCTTAAAGCTGCCAAGTTTGGGGACCCCTGGTCTATAGCTAGGAAGAATGAAACTAACAAAGTGGCAACCTAGCTGCCAAGAAGGTTGGCAACCATCAAGGGGGGAAGGAGGAACAGAGAGAGTCTTCAACATCTATTTTCAAGGGTGGAAGGTCCAAGACATGATAGCAATAACAATTTTTTTAGTTGTTACAACTGACACCTCACAATATATTTTGTGAAACCTTTCTCCCAAATGTATTCTTTTACAACAAAACAAGTGAAACTGGGACACCTGTTTCTTATTCTTTGGCTTGGTTCATATATAACATAAAACCAAGGGTAGTTTTTATTTTTAAATCCATGGTTTGTTGAATAACCCATAATGACCCATTCACATATAATGCAAAAACAAAATTTGAGGCTTCTCACATCTTATGCACAGCCACAGATGGCTGAATGTTATACTGGACTGTCCTTTAAGAGCAACTGTGATTGTTCAGCCTGCCTCTCTCTTTTTCCCTGTCTAAGCTCTTCACTGAAGGCATCACCAACAAGCTAATGGCTTGTTTCACAGATGAGAATATGAGAGATGCAGTCCTAGTGCGGGTCTATGGCAGGAAAACAGAACTTATTGTGGATCGAGCCAATGAGCTGAGAAATTTCCAAGTCCTTCAGGACAACGGCTGTGCCCCCAACCTCTTCTGCACTTTTGAGAATGGATACTGCTATGAATTCATGTCAGGGAAAGCTCTGGGACCAGAACATATCCGTGAGCCAAGTATGTTCAGGTATGTGTACTTCCTTGCTCAAATCTATAAATAAAGCTGATGGTTATTATTAATTGCTCCCTGCTTTTAGTTTGGCCCCATAGTGCTATTGTGGTGTTATATCTAAAGTATTACTCAATTCCCAACTAAAAAAGTCTTAGAGATAATACAGAAAATAAGAGATGCTCAGGACTGTCTCATAGCTTTTGTGTAACAGTGTTTCAGTGTCCATCTTTTTTGCCTCCGTGGCAGAATACAAGCCCACCAAAGACCCCCTTTTTCCCCAGAGGTTTTCTGCTGTAAAAAAATTGAATGAATAAAAAGGGCTACAGCTGTTGCATGTTTTGAAATTCAGTGAAGATGCTTAAACTTCATTTTCATTTAATGGGAAACACAATTGGGAAATTATTTAGATCATTTATTGATCTTCAAATCAGTTGCACAGGAGACCACAAGGAGGGTTTCTTTTACAGATTTTTTTCCTAAAGTGATTTTTCCTTAGATAGGTTGAACTATGTTTCCCATTATCGCAAGGGAGATTAATACAGGCTGGAGATTATGGATGTCATTATCACATCTTTCTGGAGGTACTAGATTAAGGAAAGCTGTTTTAAAAGTAAGTAAATCAGAAAGCTACTGTCCCAAAATAATACTGTGAGAATTCCAATACCACATAATTTTGATCAATTACCATGGTACTGTAGTTAGCACAATCACTAGCACTGATTATGTTTACCTAGTTTGGATAATGAAATGTCTGCAAGAAAACAAATAAACTCGGAGAGCACCAAGGACCTCTCCTTTCAACCCTGAGCCACAATATTCTCCTGTGTTGGTATGTAATTAGAAAATAATTTGCATATTTAAAACAATATTTTGTATAATGTTCTCTTGGATCAGAGATCCCATATGCTAAATTTGGGGAATGTTCTGTACACCCCAATGGATGTAGAGCATCCATCTATCCAGAGTATTAAGTAAGATTTGTTGTCATGCTAGTTTTATTGGAACTGGGATACAGAAAGTAGAGTACAATATTTGCTGATTTTTGTGGGCCCATTTCAGGTGTCAGAAAATGAACTGGAGATATATTCGTGTTTCTTTTTTTATATATGCAAAATTAAGGGAAATTTGAAGACAAACTGTTTAAATAAACAAAAATAAATTAATTCAGATCTGGCTTGGTTTTCCAAATTAGTACTGATGATTGTTACCTAGTTTGGTAATGAAACATTTGCAAGAAAACAACGAAGCTCAGAATCCCCAAATTATCTTTTGTATGCAGTTCTAATTCATCTGTTGTGGTTTTAATTTGTAGAACTCAAAGTAACATACAGGATATTACTTCCTCCTGTTTTCCCCACAATAGCCCATTGTCTTGGACTAAGAGGAACTGGCCTAAAGTCAGCCAGCCAGCTTCCAGGGATAAGGGACAACTAAAGCTCCCAATCTCCCATGTCTTGTCCAGCTACTACATGAAACTAGCTCCCACTTTTGCTACATTAAAAATAGTGTATTGCTCTTGATTTGTTCATTCTTTGTGATTTATTTTAGGCTAGTAGCCCAGGAGATGGCCAAAATGCACAGGATTCACACCAATGGGAGTCTCCCCAAGCCTTGTCTTTGGCACAGATTGTACAAGTACCTTAATATTGTGAAAACTGAGTTTGACAAAAAGGCATCAAAAGCCAGGTAAAATAAAAATTTAAAAAAAAACATGAATATTTGCTAAATACAACAGTTTTGGTTATGACATTGTAATTATTTTAAGTATATAGTGCAAAATGCTGAGATAAGCAATGAGTCAAGGAAAGATAATTAATTTGTTCTCATTTAAAACAACCCCCCCCCCAATGATAAAAGTTATGGCCGGATCCTAGACAGTTTTTTTGAAAGTTCAAAATTGAAAGGATATACATGAATTTGTTGAATGAATAACCTGTTGTTGAAAACTGAGGATACCTATACTTGGTTTATCAGATTTGATTATGCTTCATAACCTGAGGCCCTCCAGATGGGTTATAGTCTAACTTATATAGAAAGCCAGGAGACAGAACAATTGGGTTTTAATACTGAATAATGTAGAAATATCAAACCGCAAAGATTACAGGTCAATGTCCTTTATGTTGCAGAAAAATTGACTCCTACAAATTTTACATGCTTTAGAGTAAAAAATTATATAGTTTAGAATTTCATGTAGAATTATATTGTGCAATAAATAACAGCACTCATTCTGAAATAGATATTTTTCTCTCTCTCTGAAAAAAACACCTATTTGCTTTCTGTGCATTTAAAGCACATTTATACTTTAGGTTACTATAGGGGACACCGCACAATACAACCCATCTTTTTGCAAAGTTTTTACAGCAAGGTGTATTCAGGCACATTTATTTCAAATATCCCAAGATTTTCACATCTGTGTATAACTGATACTGATTTCTAGGAGCATGCTTCTAGTTCTCCTGTCCAGTTTCACTTCTACTTAGTCACTTGCACTGATGGGCAAAAGGGCAAGAAGTCTGAGCACATTATAGTAAGGATTGTGTTTACTTTGCCATTCACTAAATACTTTCAAAAGAGAGTAGGCCTAAATCATCCATGAAAATTTGTTGTAAAACAATTGCCATGTTAGTATAAATAGTTTTTAACTATGGGTGAATACTAGGATCAGAGGTGGTTTAAGAGAAACTAGGAGAAGAATTACTACTGATGAATAATTTTAATTGATGAAAATTTACTATTTTAAATATTTATTTGGCAAATTCATATACATTTCATAGAGAATTAATTACTATTTCCTAATGGGGGCCAGCAACTAGAAAAAGTGAGCCTTATGTCACAAATCTTACTAATTTTTTTAAAAAGACTCTAGCAATAAGAAAGGTTTACTGTCTACCAGTGGACATGGCATCATTTTGTCTTCCTTCTCAAGCTTCCTTCAGGAAATGCAGATTCCTAGCCTAGAGGTGTTAGAAGAAGAGATTCATTGGATGAAAGAACATCTCTCCCAGCTTCAGTCTCCAATCGTCTTCTGCCACAATGACCTTTTGAGCAAGAACATCATCTACAACAAAGCCGAAGGTTTGTTAACCTTGTTCTCATACATGCATAATACTTGCAAACCAAGCATGGGTTAATTTTAGAACATCATTCAAGATAAAAATGACAGTTGCACATGATTTTTTTTTTCTTTTAGAAGAAGCCCCTCTATAGAAACTCACTTGCAACTATTTCTGGCTTTATGTTTTCAGGTCATGTCCGGTTCATAGATTATGAATATACTGGCTACAATTATCAAGCATATGACATTGGGAATCATTTTAATGAATTTGCAGGTGAGTGGATATCCTCCCCCCCCCCTTCACATTTCCTGCGTTTGTAGAAGCGGGAAATGTCTTGTTATATCTAAAATTGAAATACATTATGTATCACTTTTCTCTGATTGTAACAGCAGCAACTCATTACTTGCAAAAGGTGCTGCCCTTTAACCTGCTGCCAAGTATCTGCAGATCACTCACTTTGCTGACTTATTGTGCTCCAAGATGTGACAGTTGTTTCTGGGCTACTAGTTCCAGTGTTGCTTGCCAGCAGATTCAAAGAATGGAAGGCAAAGCTTGAATAATGCTAATTCTTACTTTTTGGAAAGTTTGCTTTAAATTACAAACTGCTGAGAAACAAGAATATCCGTAGTGATAAATGGCTTAGAGATTCCATTGGAGTTGGGCAGCCAATACATTTAAATACATGAATAATAGTATCTTAAACAGCCATTTTAGGTCACTATAAGATGATTTCCCTACCCTGATCATCCTCCTCCTCTCCAGCAATTCTGATTTTAAGGATGGATTTTAGAAACCAACTTCTTTTCAAGAAACTGCATGTAATTATCCAGACTGTATTAATTCTCTGATGAATGGGGGTTTTTTTAATACAGGAAATGACTGTATGGCTAATTAGGTCTGCTACCAGCTCAGCATGTACCATATCTATTCTGTAAGGATCATGAAATCTAAGCTGGGTCAAACTGGAAGATTTTCAGAAGAAAAATGCAAAAGTCATTAGAAAAGATTTATGAAGTAGCAGCATTTCTTCAGAACAAGCTGTTGGTTGCATGACTATTTGCTTCTGCTACACTATGAACTAGAACAGAATTGATATGATTGCAGAAGACAAGCAGGCTTGCTCAGTGTGATAGTCTACTCTCTGAAAACTACCTCCCTTGATTTTGCTGAATGACTTTTAACAAACTTCTAAGATATGTAGAACTTGGGGATACTATTTTGCACTGATTCCAGTAGTATTTGATTAAATGTTTCCAGAACACAATGTTGGATATTGCTCAGCTTCACAGCTTCCCTCGGGACCTTATCTTGTCCTTTAAAAAACAGAAAAATCTGCTTAATTCCAGTGGAGAAGATAATTCAGAGCTGCATCTTATAATTAAGCCTTGGCTGGACAATTTAGAATTGTCCTTTCAAGGAAACTGTCTTGAACCTATATCTGAAATCAGCGAGAAATTGGATGTGGGCCAAAAGAAGCCTCAAACCAGTCAAATCTCCTTCAAGTGTTGCTTTTGACAACATATACTGAGGTACTGGCACTTTGCTGCCAATCCCTGTTCCCTGTGGAGATGATTTTGAAAAGGGTTTGGAAAATTCTGGTAGCGTAATAGTGTAACAGATGGATTGTTGTAGATATTTTAGAAGCTATTTATTACCAGGCTTAGAACAGCTATTCCCAATGCTTACTAAGTTCAGTTCAAGGTTGCTCTTTTAGATCTATAAATGGCTTGGGCCAGAATATCTCAAAGACTGCTTCCTCCCTTGTGAGACCGCTTATAATCTATAACATTCATCAGGAGTCCTGAAAGAGAGGCTAGGCTGGCGGATATAGTATACAGGATGTTTTCCACAGCACTGCGATGTTTGGAGCTTTATTCCAAGAGCAATTAGGATGGGTCCATCCTTATTTACTTTTATAGTCCAATAAAGAAGTATTGTTTGGTTAGACCTTTGATGTCCTCTGCTTGATGTGAAGCCCAACAAAAGGAAGAAAAGCAATGGGAAGAAAGGATTGAGCTGTGGTTACATTGATTCAAAGCTTTTCTTAGTTTGGGTGTTTTATTCATTCCTTGAATAAACACCTGGATTCATTCTTTGTAGCAAACTACAATATGAAACAACAGCTTATCCATTAGACTTCTTCTCTCAGCATTTAATTATTTCGATTCTCAGCTTCTTCTCCTCTAGCTCTTAAATCTCTCTCCTTGGTTCCCCCAGTCAAATTCCTTCAGTTTGTTCAAATAATGACAGAAACCATAAGGGTAGTACTTCCTTCTACAAACTTGTTTTTCCTTCTTCTGTTGTAACATTATCATTTGCAATTTCTTATTAATATGCAACAATAATACAGTAATGCATTGGGGTGTATAAATCTTAAAATCAATCCAAACTTCCCAACGGTCTGGCTAAATTTAAGCCCATGTATTTACTGGATTCAGTTTAACCCCTTTCCATCCAGTCTGACATCGACTGCACTGAGTCCTCTTGCCTTCTCTGCTCCCAGGGCTCAATGAAGTCGATTACAGCTTATATCCATGCAAGGAAGTCCAGTTGCAGTGGCTGAGGTACTACCTGCAGTCTTACAAGAAACTAAGCCCAGAGGACCAGGGAGAAGGAAACAAAAGCAGAGGAGGTAGTGGAGCAGTGTCTGAAGAAGAACTGGAGAGTCTCTATGTGCAAGTGAACCAGTTTGCTTTGGTGAGTATTTGCAAAATGATCAAAGGGTGGATAAAACAAGACAGACTATTTATTGCATGCTCTGAAAACAGACTGTCCAAGTCACATTAACCCAATGGCCATTTTTATATTTATAGTAATTTATTAATTAAAAAGAAGGCCACAGCACCATACTAATTGTTTGTTTTCTAATCTCTTTTCATCCTTTCATCTATTAGCTATTCGTATTTATAGATCAACCTGGTATCTTCTAGATGTTTTGGATAACAGCTGTCATATTCCACAGCCAATATGATTATTGCCAATTGAAATTCATTCATTTGGAAGGCACTCGGTTAGAAGAGGGTATTTATTCTACCCTGTAGTCTAAGCCTAAGCCAACAAATGTGTTTGCCTAAGAGTGGAGACTAGAACTGTAAAAGTCAGCTTCTACTTGCATCGATCTGTGTATGGTTTTTATTCCTGCAGTCCTAGGGGCAATCTAATTTGAATGTTTGCAACCATGAGGGAGCCTTGGTGGTGCAGTGGACTAAAGTGCTGTTAAGTAGCACTTAGCTGCTAGCTGCCTGCAATTACTGCAAGTTCAAATCTCTCACCAGGCTCAAGGTTGACTCAGCCTTCCATCCTTCCGAGGTAGGTAAAATGAGGACCCGGACTGTGGGGGCAATAAGCTGACTTTGTATAAAAAGAACACCACTTGGGGGGGGGGGCGAAAGCCCTACTAAGCAGGTATATACAAAAGTATGAAGGCTATTGCTTAATGCATTGTAAGCCGCCCTGAGTCTCCGGAGAAGGGTGGCATATAAATCGAACCAATAAATAAATAAATAAATAAACAATAAATAAATGACTATGTAGCGCAATAGTGGATTTCAAAACCCGTTGCTACCGGTTCATTCGTGGGTGATCGCTCTTTGTCTGAAAGGCATCTTTCTGATATTTTGTTGTCTTTTCTCAGGCTTCCCATTTTCTGTGGGCTTGCTGGGGCCTGATCCAAGCCCAATTCTCTACAATAGACTTTAATTTTGCCAGGTGAGTCATTTCTATCTGCACTGACAGGGCACAAAGAAGATGCTAGTGGTTTGTTTCTGCCTGGCATGGGGGTGGGGGTGGGTGGAGATACCAGTGACAATCAGTTTGCTATGTTGGTTGAGAGTCCTGATCATCAACGTAAAATGTTATGGTTGCAATCATATAAGACTTACCTAAGAGCACTTCTGTGAGATTTACTTACATAAAAGTAATGTGAAAACCTTGCAATGATTTTAAGTCTTGATAGCCTATTTACCTCTAGCAATAGAAGTGGGAGCTTCCAGATTTCCATCTTGGTTAGAGTTTAATAAACTGTCATTCTAGAAATTAAGCACATTTAGTGTTAATGACCTGTCAGTTCTATACCATCTGTCAGTTCTATGCCATCCAAAAATTTGTCTTTTTTCATGAGTTTTAAGACAATTATTGAAATATTTTGAAGCTTAATGACTTTTTGATTTCAAAGGTGGGCTAGAGAAACTTACACTGTATTGCGGTAAGACACCTAAAATCTCAATGCATTATAAGAAAAAATGAACTAACAACTTGTTGAAAATATCAGTGAAGAATCAGTTTTAATAGAAGTTCCTGATTCTTCCCTTGATGTCATTCACCCTTCTGCCCCACATAGTTCCTAAATATGGGCTTCACATTATAATCCTTATCATGGTTGATTAACTATACATGAAATGAAGAGAAAGATAAAATGAAACCAAATGTATAAATGAATAACCTGCTTTGTTTTCTTTCCCATGGTCCTCAGTTGCCTTGTGACCCATTGAACAACTGCTCATTTTAAATTTCCTGCAATTTTTGCAAGTTTACATATACATTCCCAATCACCTATACTTGTCATCATTTCCAAATAATCTTGCATGGGATTGGTATTTTATGTACTTTCTCAGCCACAATCACTCCTAGGTAAAAGTGAGTTTAGGATGTGGCCTTTGTCTTTTTTCTTATTACTGTAGTTAGTTGATAATGCACTTAAACCTATCCTGAAATCAAAAGTGGGGTCAAATGCTTAAATGCAAAGAATGTCTGTGGAGATTCTCAATCATCCAGGCCATGGTTTATGGGGGCGACGAGGCGCTCCCATGTGACACCTCTCCTGCGCGAGCTGCACTGGCTCCCGGTGGTCTTCCGGGTGCGCTTCAAGGTGTTGGTGACCACCTTTAAAGCGCTCCATGGCTTAGGGCCGGGGTACTTACGAGACCGCCTTCTGCCACCAATAGCCTCCCACCGGCCAGTACGCTCGCACAGAGTGGGCCTCCTCAGGGTGCCGTCCGCCAGACAATGTCGGCTGGCGACCCCCAGGGGGAGAGCCTTCTCTGTGACGGCGCCCACCCTCTGGAACGACCTTCCCCCAGAGTTACGTATAATAACAGACCTCCGGATTTTTCGTCGGGCCCTGAAAACTTATTTATTTCAACTAGCTGGGCTGGCTTGAGCTAAATTTTAAATTGATTTTAAATTGGGTTGTTTTAATTACGGCCAAAATATTTAATTATTTTAATACTGTTTTTTAAATTTTGTATGCTCTGTTTTTACTTAGGCTGTGCACCGCCCTGAGTCCTATTTGGAGAAGGGCGGTATAGAAATTTAATTAATAAATAATAAATAAATGGTTGTTCCAAATATGCTTTTCAAAAGGCAACTGGATGGTCTTGCTTTTTTCCTTGAAAACATTTCTCATCCAAGAAGCTTCTTGGATGAGAAGCAAAACATTTTAAAGGAAAAAAACAAGAGACTTCAGTTGTCTTTTGAAAAACACATTTGGGACATCATTCAAAGACATTCACTTTTGATGAAAAGTCCACACTTCAAAGAAAAGGTCAAAAGCTGAGATAAATTCATATTAATACTTTAAGGGCATACCAATGGCTGTGCTGCTCCAGTCTCGTATTTGAGCAGCACAGCTGATGATTTTTATTATCTGTATGATTAGAAAATACTTCCTAGAATTATTAGGCACTTGGTTATCTGGGAATTGGGGTATTTGTGATTATTCTAGAAAACCTTTAATGCAAGAGAGACTCTTCATGTAATGAGAAATTTAGAGGTAACCACATGTAGATTTTATGATAGATTTGAGAATCAAGAAGGGAAATTAAATGAGACATGGATTTAGAATAATTTTGACCAGAATTCCAGATTAGGTTAAATCAGATGCATTAGCAACAGGAAAGGAGTGGTTTGCATATAACCTGCCTTCTCTATTTTTAATTGTTCCTATGATTTTATACTTTTGGCTGAGAGTAACTAGATGGGTCAAGTCCCAAAGGTGCTTTTTCAAAAGGCAACTGGAGTCGTTTTTCCTTGAAGACATTTCATTTTTCATCCAAGAAGTTTCTTAGTCCCATTGGTATTTAGGTGGTTCAAGCTCATCTAAAAACTCCATATCTAAGTCAGAATCTGATCCCTGGTTTCAAGCCCTAGCCTAATATTTTCATTGCTATACCTTATTATTGTTGATGATATTTTTATAACAGCATGTAAAATCATCATCCTATTATGAGCATCATATGTGAATTATCAAAATAAGCATGTTTATAAAAAAATGTAAGAATGCATATAAATGCATGATAAGTATCAGTGTAAGAATTCAGTGTTTAAGTGCTGTAGATGTATGTGAAAGGAGAGACACTGGATAGAAAAGACATCTGCAACTTTTCTGGCATAATTTTCCATTTGTAGACACTGAAGAGCACCACATACTACGAAATCAATGTGTACAAAATGTTCCTAATATTTTACATAACAAATGTTTATCTTTGTATTGCTGTGTAGGTACGCAGACATAAGATTTAAGCAGTACTTTAAAACAAAACCTGTGGTGACTTCCCTTCAAATGTCCAAGTGAGGTTGAAGTCCAAAGAGTCTTCTGGTTCTCAAGATTCCACTCTTATTTTCTCTGGTGCAGAGCACCTGCCACCCTCTCCTCCTGCAGTGCTGAGTGGTCAGACATCATGAAACAGGGCTGGGAAAGAAAAACACACCTTCCACAAAGCCAAAAAATTCAACAAAGCCCCTGAACTTGGCTGCCGCATGTTGGTTTCAGAAGGTGATGTTATGACATGGCTGCTGGCAAGTGTTTCTGGGGCATATGCAGGAAAGATTCAAGGGCTTCTGGGCTTTATATGTGGGTGGCCAATAGGGGAGAAGGTTTGCTTAGAGATTTATATAGCCTTGAAGGTTATTGCTGGATCACACTTTTGTTCCTTGGCCAGAAGAAAGAAAACTAACAAGAGTTTTGTTTTTGTTTTTCAAGAACATGGGATTGTGGTCTTTTGGTTTGTGAGAATGGAGTAGAAACAATAGAAAGAATCCATTTTGAAATTTGCTCCACTCTCTACATGTATGGGTGGAGAGAAAATCCATGACTTAAAAGATTAAGACCCTGAAGGTGGAATAAATATTCCCACATGCATCAGTTTTAAAATATGGAACATTTAGGCTCAGGGAAAGTCCCAGTCCTTAAAGAGCTATTACAACTTTGGTCAAGCTTTGAGCTGATGGCCTCCCTGAACTATTAACTGGCAACAGAGACCTCTGTACTGAAAATTGTATTAGAAGTTGTGGGCAATTTCAACACCTATATTCTGAAAGTCAAACAATGTAGGCAACCTCAGATTATGTGTGCATATAATTCACACAGTGCCACTTTGAAGAGAGCAGATGTTACTACCTAAAACCTAATGTGATGAAAGCACAAAAGTCAGAGTACTTTTTGTAAAGAATAGATGTACCAAATTTATGCAATACTCTATTATTGTAACGGCCATATGTGAAAGAGGTTTACCCATCTCTCCCCACCACAAAATTGCATCCTGTTTCAAATGGTACAAAGATGATTGCATTTCCATTAATGTGTTGATTTGCCCATAGAGTCTTCTGTAATATTACATTGTGCCATTCAGTATTTTGAGAAGGTGAACTCCATGAAACTGAACATTTTAATAACACAAATATATAAGTAGGGAAGTGTAATTCATGTTGATGTAGCACAGGAAAAAGAAAGCACGCCAATAAAACTTGTTAACAAGGTTTTTACCCAAGTTTACTACCTGCTTACCAATTTAGTGCAGATTTTTGCCACCTGGACACATCCAAATTCAGATAGTAACTCCAAAATTACCAGCCATCCTCTGGCTAAGAATTCTAGAATTTGAAGACTCATTTTATCTAAAGACGGCTAAATTAAAGCTATTTCAGTCATATATCAGAGGAAAAAACTTATGACTGCATCGGTATAAACTATGACATAGACAGTCTGGTCTCTTTCAGCCAATCCTTTTATTTTCCAACTTTACCTTGTATATAAATAAATTTTATACCCTTTATACCCAGGAAACTAGAACCAACCTGAATATCCTTTATGAGTTGCATGGAGCTCACACTGTTATGGTGCTTTATCTTCAAGATCATTTGAGTTCCTTTGGTTAAAGGGCCACATTTATACATACCCCCTACAGGTTCTCCAGTCAGAAGCAGACTGGCATTTTCTGCATTATCCTATGACTGGATAAAACTGAAGTGTGAAGGCATAATGGGCATGAAACTATTGGTATCAGTCCTTGGGTCTCTATCTGAGGCACTGCAATCAATATAAAACATGTCATTTTACACATTGAATTTTCTTTTATCCACATTTTCTATCAGATGGGTTTTTATTTTACTCAGCAAGCAATTACTAGAATTAAAAACAGATGACCTCTCAGTTCCTATGATGTCTCTTCAGCTTAGTTATGAACTTAAATGATTGAATGTTCACTGAATTTGTACTTCGGAGCAAAGATGGAAACAATAAGCCTCCTGCAGGCTTGTAATTGCAATGCTATTATAATTAATTTCCTAGAATCTGATTTCCTGTAGTTTCCGCATAGTAGGATAGCTGGTGCAGAATTGCTGTCAAGAGAGGGCATTTAGTATCCTTAGGAAAGGGGACAGTCAAGCCAGTATTTGCCAGATGCTTTGCATTTACTCCCACAAGCTGCAGCCCATGTTTCTGGTGGTAAGATTTTATGGAATTGTAGTCCAAAATTTCCAGTCAACATAAGATTGCCTTATTTCTGTCTTAGACATTTATGTGCTTGGATAGTATTTACTTCATTTTCCCTTTGTAGAAATGCTTTGCTTTTTTAAAATTTATGTTAGCCTTTGAACAGTTGGATAAAAAGTGTTGTATGTTTACATTTGCTGCATTCCTGATCCAGCCATTAGCCCTGATTCATTATTTATCTCTATACATTTTCAGCCTTGTTATATTGCCTTCTTTTTTCCCAAAACATTCCATTCAATCACTATCTTGGTCTTCCCCCTTTTCTCAACCCATTCACCCTTCATGTTTATTGTGTGTGTATGTGAGAGAGAGAGAGTTGATCCTCATTCATTCTCTGTATGACCAAGCCATCTTCATATACTTCTTTTGCAATATCTATTTACTTTTCTGTGCACACCACATTCAGTGAGCATCCTCTCATTCTATATTCTGTCTGTGTTTGACTTCAGATATATTTTAAGCACCCCATACCTGGTGCATTCAACTCACTTTTATATTTCTGTTGACATACCCAATTCTCACATCTGTGTGACAAATTGAATGGAATACAACCAACTTCTCTTGCTGCTTTTGACAAGCATCCATTCTTCACAACAGACCATACTCACTATCTTTTCATCACATTTGTACACCTTATCATTTCTTTTTCCAGTTTTGCATCTGTAGTTCACCTTCCTGTGGTGTTTTAGATGTGTACCTGTAACACAATCATTGCAATCATTCATTCCATTTTCATTATCAAGAACAACTACCTTGGTCTTTATTGCATTAATGTTCAGATAACTACCAGCCCCCCAAATGTATAGTAGAAAGCAGGACAGCTTTTTAATTATAAGGTATCTCTAAGCGTTATGAACACGTCCTCCAAATTGAGTTAAGGAAATGAAACAACTGAAGTAGTTCTTTGATGTTTCCTATTTATAAATGTAGCTATTTATTGTTATTCGGTAAATAATAGTTACATAACTGATCTTGTGAAAATTGGCCAAACCCTATGTTTTATGATAGGACCACACTAAACCTCACTGTATCTAACTAGCATGGTTTGAAATCCTTCAAGTGAATTTGACTTCAACTCCCAATAGCCAGTATAGACAATGCATTATGGGAGGTTTATACAGAGGCAGGTATAATTTGTGAATGTAAATACAGGTAAAGAAAAAATGTATAAGATCTTGTCCATGGTCACTTCTTATGACAATCATTATTTATGAACAAAATCCATGAACTTCTGCCTTCTCAGTACTTCTGATCTCATATGCTGTAATGGGACTGACTTCTGTTTATATATAATCCTTCCAAATAATGGGGATGTTGGAGGATAAAATGGATTAATTGGATGGATATAATGAGCAGGATCAGCATAGTACAGCTGTGGAGGAAGGATCAAGAATAGCATAAATCATCTTACTGGCTCGGAAAACAAAACACATGACTTCATTGTTATGCTTCTACCCCTCTTAGAAAACACTTCCCCTTCTCTTTCTTAATTGACAATAGGACCTCCTTGGTCACTTTTTTTTACAGGCCTTTTCCTTTAAAGGTGTCCTGCTTCTTTGGCCTGTTCTTACCAATGCCTTCTGACCCTCTCATTAAAGTCTGCTTTTCCCACTTTTTCCTTCCTCCATCTCTCTTACAAGCAAGATGTTGACTTCTGAATAAACCTCCAAAACCACAACATGCCAGTCAGGGGACACAAGAAGACATTAGAACTTTCAGACCCAGAAAGTTCCTACTGAGAATTTTCCCAGGGCAAAAAGAGCAGATCCTTCAGCCATAGCTAAATTTCCTTCACCCCTGATGCAGCAAAAAGAGAAGCTTTCTCATCTGGGCAAAAGTATTATGACAGGCCTCCAGAGGGCATCAAAGAGTAATGAATTCATCCTTTCTTTTGAACCAGTAGCTGCAAAGGGCTGCTTATGAACCATTTCCCTTTTTCCCCCCAGTAGCAGCTTTTCTACCCTAGGCAATTTTTATGACATTCTAATTCTATGTTTTCTTAAAGGAGCAGAACGTCTTTGTCAGCAGCCTTAGTCACTGATGATTGACCCCTGATAGTTTGGACAATGAGATGAGGTGGAACTAGGAAAATGAGTTAAATAATAGGGAAAGGGCTTCCTCATGTGTGTGGGGAAAAAGATTAGCCTCAGACTGGAAAGTTTAAGAAGCTTGTAGTATGCTGAAGTTAGATGGTCACGACAGGGTGAAGAATCTGTAATAATCTACATAGTATCTGTCCTTGATTCATTGGGAGGGCAGGAAAAATTCATAAATCGTGCTATTTTTTGCCTTTCAAGATTATTAGGTTGAGTGATAAGTAAAGCTTATCGCTCATATTTAGAAGCTTTCTGGGTGCAGGGACCTCTGTGGAGGAAATTCTTAGAAGGGATAGTAGAAAAAAATGTTAAAAGCCAACATTGCCCCCAAACAATCTCAGAATGGCTCATGATTGTCCTGACTACAGTTCTTGTAGGAATGGCCAGGCCAATCTCTGTTCCCTCCATCCAATCACGGAGTAGAGAAATGGGATATTGAGCAGCAACATCTCCTCCCTCTCTGCCCCTACCTTTTACTTTGCTGTCTTTATTCTTGAGGAGGAAAAAAGCAGATGAAAAGTCTACATGCATTATGATGCTTTCACAAGCAAGGGAGGTGGTGGAAGTGGAGAGCCACGAAATTGGTTCAACAGTGGGCAAACAGTTTGCCCATTTAACCCTGACTTCAAAATGGAAATGTTTTTATTTGAATTTCTAGGTAACCAATCTGCCCTTTTTCAGAAATAATATACTATATAGGAATTGGAGCCAGAGTGTGGATTGCTGCAGCAGCATAAACAGTACCAAAGCCCCATGGAGCAGTGTCATAAATTGTATCATTCCCCATCTTCCGAGCAAGTAGGAGGCTTAAGCTGTCTTAGACATCTCCACACATCAGACCAAGATGGAACCCGCTGTCAGGATCTATGTTGCACTGTTTGCATACCCTGTTAAGAAAAAGCAATACTTTCAAATCAAGGATTAGCATTTTTCCAAGCTAGTGCATCCTGGATATTTTTGTGGAAGCTAAAACGTTTTTTAAACACTAAGTTGCTCAGAGCATTTTTGGCAAGCTAATCTTCACAAGATCATATAACGTGCATGCTGTCCACTAGGGAGAATAAAAGGAATAACATAATAGGAAGTTTTAGGAAATAAGTGAACTTATTTATACAGCAAGGATATTTCAACCCTCCTCTTTACTTTAGAGGAATTCACAATCATACTGTGTTGTCATGTTCTCAGTGTTGACACATTAATATGCACAGGTCTCTTTCATTATGTGATGTCATAGTGAGGTGAAAGCTTCTGAGGGAATTTAGATCTACCTAAAAACAGTAAAACACATTTTTCTCCTGAAGATTAAAGTATATGGAGTATGTCAGTATGAAATAGAAATCTCTGTAGATAATTGTGCTCTTAAAACAATCACAGCATACCAGCAAACTGTTAAAAAGGCCTGAAGACAGATACAGAGTCTTTGGCCTTATCTCAGAGGCATCACAAACATCCCAACGCACCATATTGATGTGTGTTGATGTATATCTCTACTGGTCATATAGTCGGAATCAAGCAATTTATGAAATTTTACAGCTTGATTTTTGTACCATGAAAATTGATTTCATGGCCTGAATAGTTCTCTGAACACAAACAAGATTGCAGTGAGGGTGACATTGTGTACGTAGTGTTGTGTACTTGAAAAAGAAATCTAATTGCATAGTTTTGTGATGTAGTTGCTGTTTGAAATATATGACTCCTTTGAAGCTTTAGGGGTTTTCAGAACCATTGCTTTCTGTGGTGCTTGTTTGTCTCGAGAGCAAAACAGTTGAGCAAACTGAGGTAACAGGGTAAAGACCAACAAAGGTATCTTTAATATAGGCAGAGCTTTCCCAGTTCATGCATAGCCACCAAGCAATGAACTGGTTAGGCTAAACTTTCAAGGATTAGTTTACATCTCTTAGTTGGTTACCTCACAGTGACTTGCTATTTTTTTTTAAAAAAAAATGTGCAGATGCCAGCACATCTCTTTGTATGTGGCACCACTAATTTTCTTATTAGCAATTTTCATGTACTCCGTTCCATGTACATAAACAATACAAGATTTTTCTGTATTATGATAGTTGCTGACAATACTGAATGAACTGTGTGTTCCTACAGGTACACGTCAAATCGGTGGACTTTGTTTCTTGAAAGACAAAAAGGAACCTTTTAAACACCAAATGTCTCTTTTTATCTATAAAGCCAATGTTAAAATTAAAAACTGGAGGGAAGATGTTTTGTTTCTGAGTTATCAACTATTCATATTATGCAGCTTATTGTCCTTGGTTAGTTCATTTGTTTAAATCAGTAGCTAAATTAGGCTGGGAGCTGTGCTTCAGGAGCAATGAAAGGATTCCAGATTCTCTATCCTTGCTGTCTTCGGCTCCAATACTTATTCTACGCAAGTAGTAGTATTTCTTGTGAAGTAGCAGCTACTAACCTAATACCTGGGACACAATCATACTATGTGTCTGGGCCAATGATCAAGACAGATCCTCGTCTCCCTCAAGAGATTTTCCAGTATCATTCACCTGCTCAAGGTCATTTCTGTCAGGCAATTGCGATCTTTCAAAGCAGCCAGAAAATAAATCCATGGATCCATACTGCATAGTGCTCCACAGCACAGAGACATTCTCATTCCAAAGGCACTAATGATCAAGATGACACAGCCAACTATCTCTGTCATGTTAGTTTTTGAATGACTGCCAACATACATACCGTGAGGTTGCTGAGGCTTATGACTGCTGCAGCAACTCTTATCTTACATTGATGGATTGCAGTATCTGACTGGCAAAGCAAAGAAAGAGGGCCCCAAGTTGTCTGCTGTAGTAAAGAAAATATTGTAGCTCCTGTGAGATGCACCTCTCTCACTTGAAGTAGCTTGAAACGAGGAATCTTGAACATCAGGAGGACAAGATGAAGTACTCCAATCTCTTATTTTTTAATCTCAATTGAAATTAATCACAAATGGCTTTCTAAAAGACAATTTGTTTAAAAAGAACTATTTTAATACTCATAAAATTTATGCATCATCTCCTCCTCTCTAAAGATCTAAAGATTTAATCTGAGAATAAGATACCTTGATGAAAAGATTTCAGAAATATATTTTTCATCCCATAGATAATAGACTTGAGATTCCGAAGATGTTAAACACATTAGTATGAACAAGGATGATATAGCATCATCATGCAGATGGAGAGAATGGTAAACATTAATGGCATTATCACTTGTAAAAAGACTATACTATGTACTTTCAAGGAAATAAGCCCCTTTAAGAACAGTGGAATTTACTACCTCATAAACATATGGAAGACTGTGATGTTAAGCTTCAATCCTACACAAACCTATCTGGAAGTTATTGAACTTCCTGAGAGTTTCTTCCAAGTAAACCTACATAATAATTGCATCAATGTTTGCAGATAATTCAGGGGAAGTCTAGCATCGTGTACATTCTCTATTTTAAAGATTAGTCTCCACAGCCTTTAATTTGTTAAAAGGAACAGGCCAGTGGTGGGTTGCTCCCGGTTTGCACTGGTTCTATAGAACCAGTAGTAAAACCGGCAGGAGGCTCCGCCCACCGACCCCAACATCATCAGAACGCTTCTGCGAATGCGGCCCCATTGTGAACCGGTAGTAAAGGTAAGTAGAACGCACCCCTGGAACAGGTACAATGGATTAGGTGGCACAGTGAATTTTACAAAACTAGAATTAGCACAGATCTCTGTTCCAAAACATCTTTATTGTACCAAGAAAAAGAAAACCCTTTATAAACGAGTGTTGAAATATACAGGTTAAGTTACTAGTCTTATTAACAAAATAAAGCTCTATCTATATGTACAGACTTTTTAAAACAAAACAAAAATAAAGCAGCAGCCAGTTGCTAGAGCACAGTGGAAGGGGATAGGATTATGAAAAACAGAAGGAATGGGAAACAATATAGATCAAAGCCATTCATCTATCTTGGTGCTCTCCAGATGCTAGACTGTAACTCCATGATGCTTGCCCAAAATGTCCATTAAGATGTTGGAAGTGATGCGAGTTGTAATCTAACACATCTAGAAGGCACAGGGATTTTTTTTTTTTTTTTAAAAAGTGTAACCCATTCTCAAGCTGCTTATTACACATGAACTAAGTGATCCACTTCCTCTCTAGCAGATATAATTGCATTTTCCTCTATTCAAAGTTAGAATAAAGGAAAATAAATTGGACAGGTGCAAGTATTTTTGACTTATTTAAGTTAGTTAGGGACATAAGTCATAATGTGACAAAATGATAAAAGCTGTCATGAAAGAATGCCAGACAGGTTTTGTTTCTCATAAAGAAAAGCAGAACTCCAGATTCTAGCCAGATACACCTCAGGTGCAGTGTCTTACAGTGACACTAAACTCTGCAATGACACTACACAGACTAAGATCAAATTTCAAAGTGGCAACTACTGCATGCTTTGCAAGCTTAGCTCGAAACTTCTGTCAACTTCAGATTTGCATTACATTTTGGCAGACATGTGAAGGACCACACTCCTAAAGATGGTGAGATAAAAAACCAATATTCAGGGGTCTGTAAGGAATGAAATAGGTGCATAAATCCTCTGTAAAATGTAAGGTATGTATCTCAATCACTTCCCAGTTATCAATAATGCAAAAAATAGTGATCTTTTGCCATATCTACTTGTACTAACTACAAAAGAGATGCTAGTGGGCTTTTTGTAATATTAGACTAAGGGTGACTCCAAACTGTATGGTATTATCAATCCTTACTTTTCTGCCATAAGTGATAAATAGGCTTGTAATTTACCATCTCTTCATGCGCACATACTGTTAGGCTTCATCTTTCAGTGGGCATGATACAATCATGTGGGCATCAATCAATCAAATTTCTTCCATGATCTCATATCTGGTCTCAAATTGTGGAGATCAGTGTGTTATATTAACAACATGGTCACTCTAACACAAAAAGGAGACCTTGTCAAAAAATTAAGAATGACATGTTTAAGAACTCCCAATTTAGTTTCTCAGCAATGTTACAATTTCTGACAGTAGAAAATAAAAGATTTCCATGCTGAGATTTAAATCCAATGGAAGTGTACAAAAATATTTAAAGGACTATCTAAAAGGGACAGGGGCAAAATATGTAAAAAAAAAAAAGTATGCAAATGTACATAATTGATACATGAGACTCATCACTGTTCTTTCCATGTACTGAAGGTAGCCACTGGTTATCATTAACCAAGAAGGCTTAGCTAATTTAAACCAGGGCAAGACTGCTGCTTTCACTAATGCCACTAAAGGATAAAGAGTAAGGAGGAGATGAAAGAAGCCACTCAAACACATTATACACTCAACTTGGATGATTTGAGCATGATAAGCAAACAAGTACTTATACTGCAAACTATGAGTGTGGAGTTCAATGTAGGAAAACATGAATTTACAAATATACTGAAGCCTACCAGAGGCTCAATAAACCAGAATGATGGAAGTGGACAAACCCCTTGAAAGTTGCTGAATTATAACATCTTCTTCCTCATGAACTGCAGCTCAGAACAACTAGGACACAGGTTTCCTACCCTGTATTACAACATCATTAGACTAATTCAATAAAAGTATCCATTTAAAAGAATTCCTATTTCCTTCACAGAAGATGGCTTCAGAATAGTTTTTCCAAGAAGGTGCCCTTCACATGGTGCCTATATGTTGGATTATAATTCCCATTATGCACCTTTAGTGCTTTAGTGGGTGGGCATGAAAGAGCTATTACCCTTGTAGGAAAACAATTTTGGAAAGATTGCCTCAGAAACTTCACATTTTATCCCTCAAACATCAAGTCAGCTTTCTATTGTTGCAGGGCGTCCTCCTATGTGTACTGAGCGTTGGCAAGCAAACAAGGGTAGGAGGGAAACCGGCCATGGCTTAATTTATAAGTTGGGCCAAGACTGCCAAGGGTAAAGAGGGCCCTTCGAGACCTCGGTTGGTATTCATTCAAGTCCAGAGCTAAAAATGGCTCCATGGGAATTTATTGGCAGGGCCGGTGGGAATTGAACAAAACAAACACAGGACAAAGTGAAATTGGAGTGGGGGAAAAGGCAGAACTAGCTGAAATCCGGAGTGAAGGGGGAATAAATGTTCCACCCAGATGTTTCATTTCAGGAAAGTGAAAAGGCTCCCCAAATGTTGGTTGAATGCTAGTGATTGGCTGGCTAATAAAAGCTGGTGCAGCTAGCCAGGTTGTAAACAGGTGAGGTCTCTGTTTGGCTATTGGTAAAGTAAGCTTTTACATCGGCTTTATGGGGAAAGGAGAAAAAGCCACAGAGGAAATGAAAAAGAGAGATAATTGCTACTCAGCCACAGAGCATTTGCCCCTAACTCCAATACAACTGAACACTACACAAAAGATAGACACAGTTGCGACTGGAAGGAGGAAGCTTTTTCTAGTCAAACTTTCATTTCTGAGAACATAACACTTAATACTGAGCTGCTAGGAAGATGGATTTAAAGATTATAGATTCTGAAATCTGCTGCTCAGTATTTCTACTCATTGTTCATCCCTTAGTGACTCTGTAATACCTTTGTTCCCTTAACTTCAGTGAAGATTTGGGATATCCTTAGCAGGAGTTCTGACCTTAGTAGAAAAAATAGCAGATTTGTTACAAGAGTCATAGTCAATTCATATTCAATTTCCTTGGGGTAAATTCAGCAGGTCAAAGACAAAATTCCTCCCTTTCCACAGAAGATAAATGGATGGGAAATAAACTCTACCAATATCACAGATGGTGGCATAAAGAATTGTTCCTCTGCTCCATGTCTGTTTCCACTTTTACAAGCTCCCTCCTCCTTGTTTCTTCCAATGCCATTAATTGTTCCAGGTTAGAAAGAGGACAAAGGCTTGTCCATATTTTCCATACTTGTTCCTTGTGACATTAGTCTGTGAGTACCACTAGCTCACCATCACTCTTCTCCTCGCCTTCAGAATCCTCATCTTCACTGTAGTGGTACATCTCCCCATCAGGCATTGAATGACTGTCCTCTGCCCCATCCCCTTCCTCTGGCTTCAGACTACATGTGTTCACTATGACTGGCATGTTTGGTTCCATGCCATGGGACAAGTAGTGATCCATCAGTGGTGGAGCCAGCTGAATCCCAACTGATCGCTGGTACATGAGATCCGAAGAGGAAGGTGGCATCTGGCTGCTTTGGGGCCTAGGAAAGACATTATAATTTATCATAAAAGTTAGGCCATCTTACATTCTGTTCCTCCCCCACCCCCACCTCCAACTCTGCATTCATAACATTATTACTGCACTTCCCAACATGGAAACAGATAAGCAAGAATAGAGAAGCTGTGATTTTTTTACTACTGAACTAAACATTCCTAATTATTGGTCATGTAACTGAGATTACTGGTAACTGCAGTTCAGTAGTATCTTGTGGGCCACCAGTTCCTTAATCCTAAGAAACAACAGTGCACTGGTTACTTGTTTGTACAATACTGGTCTCCCTGGAATGAGATCAGATCAACTGTCTTCCAGGAACCTTCTACAAGCAAACACTGCTGGACCTTTCCTTCCTTCTTCATCTAAGCTTTCAGGACTGCCTGATTTCACCTAAATGCTAATCATACTTATATGATCCAGCAAAATATTTAATCATGCCTTTGATCCCTTCAGTCGGCAAGGCTACAAGATACACACAGACCATAAACTGGGTTAGCTCTTTGTAAGATCCGAGCAAATAAGCCCAGGAAGACGTTGCAGGTCACAATGAATGATGAATCAGGAACCTGAACCTTATTAAACTATTATTGCCTTGCAAAAGATGATCTGTGCGGTTCCCTTAAAAGAGGTGAGTTTCAGACATAGGAACCTGCTGGCTCAGAAAGCTGTGCTCAGGAGGAACAGAGAAAAGGGACAGGAAGCCTCACGCAATCAGGTAGCCCTGCCTGGCGTCCTGGCGCCGATTCCTCATCAGTGCCTTGTACTCGCCAACACGAAGTCGCTTTCCTTCCACAATGCAGGTGCGTTTGGGGCGGGGCTTGTACTTGTAATTGGGATACTTCTCTAGATGCTGGCGACTCAGCCGTGCTTGCTCTTCATAATAGGGCTGCTTCTCCTGATTGGACATGGATTTCCATCGGGATCCTATAAAAACAGAGAGCAATGAAAGGGGATGATTTCAGTTACCTTTTTTTATTCTTCCTCTACTGTACGGTCCTTCTCAGTCTTATGCTACACCAGAATACTGCTTCCTAACAAATGGGCTTAGAAGAAAAAAGAACAGGGACATACAAAGGTTGACCACTGTAGATTAAGGTGAAAAACCTCCATGTCTACAATAATTTCCCTGAAATAGCCAATGCAAAACAAATGTGGCATCTTTAAAAACAGAGTTTGAGACATAAAACAGGGATGAGCAACCTTTAGATAACCAGAAACCAAACAACAGCAGCAACAACTTTTTCTTTGAACTGCAGTGAGCGGATGGAGAAGCAAACTGGCTAGGAACATTACCAGGGCTTTCTAAGTTTTCAAAGGTTGGGGAATTATTTTCCCCCTTTGTTTCTGAACTACATTCAGCCTGCTTTGAGACATGTACATTTTTTTTTCTTTTGGTTTTGCCAGTTTTTGTAATCAGAGGGATCCTGAAGGTTGATGTTATAGCAACAGCTCAGTCCCTTTGAAAGATAAATTATATGAAGAGTTAATGTAAACTGCTTCTTTAACCAGATGCAGTTCTAAAGGTTATCACACAGCTCTGCATTTATCTTTTATTACCATTCAGGCAAAAGGAATTATTTCTACAGACTCCTTTATGTCTAAGAACGTAGGGGAATTCTATACTAGTAAGGCTAGTACTGTAGAATATCTGGACGATCATATCACAGAGGAACTAGGAGCTCAAGAAAACATCTGGCTGTGTTGCCTATCTAGAAATGTAAACTGAGATATTAAATAAGCCATACTATGTAGTTTTAATGGATGTTCTGGGTCTTGTGGATTACAAGATACATGTAGCCCTCAAATTACAACTACAATTGGGCCCAACATTTCTGTTGCTAAGCAAGATAGTTTTTAAGTGCGTTTTGCCTCATTTTACTATCTTTCTTGCCACAGTTGTTAGGAGAATCATTGCAGTTGTTAAGTTAGTAACACAGTTGTTAAATAAATCTGGCTTCCCCATTGACTTTGCTTGTCAGAAGGTTACAAAAGGTGATCATATGACCCCTGGACACTGCAACCATCATAAATACATGCCAGTTGCCAAGCATCTCAGTTTTGATCACATGACCATGAGGATGCTACAACGGTCTTAAGTGTGGAAAAACAGTCATACGTCACTTTTTTTCCCAGTGCTGTTGCAACTTCAGACGGTCACTAAATGAATGGTTGTAAGTCGAGGACTACCTCAATTTGACAAAAACTAAGCTGGGCATTACTCAGTTTCAAAATGAAAACATATCTCAAAACAAAATGTCAGTTTTCCCCCCTTCTTTTTCTTCAGAAGGCAGAGTAGTTTTCTCACGAAGCGTAATTCATGGAAACAGAGGCAAGGATCACAGATGCATCCAGATGAGTCCTGTTTATTTAGGAATAGAATTAATTTTTTAGATTTGTGAACCACTTCACCTAGGTGGTGTGCAAAATTAAAACCAAAAACAAACCAAAAATAATGCAGTAAAAAATAAACTGTAAAGAAGAACAAAAAATAATGGCACAAATTTTCCTCTAGCTCAGTGTGTCTCAAAAGTTGGCAACTTTAAAATGGGTGGATTTCAACTCCTAGAATTGCTCAGCCAGCATGAAGCATGATGTTGAAGTCCACCCATCTTAAAGTTGCCAAGTTTTTAAAAACACAGCTCTAGATATAGATTATCAATGGCCTTCTAGAAAAGCCAGATTCTAACTATTCTCCAGAAGGCCATAAGAGAAGGTGAAATTCTTGCTTAGCCCCTGAAGCACAGGCATATTAACCCGTGCACATAATTATTTAATCAGCATTTAACTGTATATCAACATAAAGGAATCTTATTAGTACATCATGTGGAAAAAGTGTCATTTGTGAAGATGCACTATTGTCAAACTGCAAGAGAATCCATTTATTTAATGAGACCTTTCACATTTCTCAAATATTGTATTAACTGACTTATGCCAATTTATATGACATGAGGTACCGGTAAATGGGAAAGTAAAAGGCAGGGAAGTACAGCTCTTTCCCTTAGTGCTTCTCTCTTATAAATGGGAAGCTCCAAAGCCATGGCCACCACCTATTTCTAACTAAACTTCTTCTGTCCTGCTGACCTTTTCTGTCACCTTCCTACAGGGCTCTTTGAATTCTTTCAAGCCCAAGGTATGAGGAACAGGTGGAACAGCTAAAATAGGCTGGCCTTCTGTGTGACAGGAATTCCCTGGGTTGTGTGACCTTTACTGTCATGTCCACCAGAGAGTTTGTGAAGAATTGAGGCTGGAGAGATGAGGAAGGTTTCACCCAAGCAGTTAATGTGGGGAATAAGAAGTCTATAATTGATGGAACTTGAGAAAAAGTTACGCCTAAACAAATTTTCTAGATCAAAGAAAATCCTAGGATTTCGGATAGGAAAAGGTAAGCATTAGCATTGCTGGTAAAATTACTTTATCATATTTTAGAGTCAACATAATTCAAATAATACTGAGCTTAAAAACAAAATTTGCCTTGCTAATTAAAATTAGAGAGGGGGGGAAGGGAGGATATCCCCAATTAGTGACTGTTTGAAGTTACAATGGACAAAAAATATACTTGCAACTGGATATGAGGTTCCCGAGCTCACCTCCCCCCATGGTCATGTGATTGCACTTGGGGGGGGCACTCAGCAATCCATTTCCAGCTATTTGTACTATTGTGTGGTCACATGACCTTTTATGTTTTTTGCTAGAAACTGGTATTTACTGTATTTTTCGGACTATAAGATGCACCGGTGTGTAAGACACACCAAGATTTCAAAGAGATAAGTGAGAAAAAAAAGGTTTTTGCCCTCCCCAGCCCCCAAGAGCACTATGCAGGCCTCCCAAACCCTCTGCTCACTGTTTTTGCGAAAAATGGGCCCGTTTGGGACGGGCGGGGCGGGGCTTCGGGAGGCCAAAAATGGCTGTATTTGGTATATAAGATGCACCAACATTTCCACCCTCTTTTAGGAGGGGGGAAAAGTGCGTTTTATACTCCGAAAAATACAGTACTTCCGGTTTCTGGCAAAAAACATCCATTCTAAACAATGGCTTCACTTAAGGACCATGGCATTTGCTAATGATCACTACAAAAAGTCATTTTAAAAAGTCGGTCATAGGATGACTTGCTTAATAACTGGCACCACTTACATCCATAATTCTGAGGTCAATTATAATTGTAAGTCGAGGACTACCTGTACTTACTGGCTCAGTACATTCTATCATCTTATTTTGCTTTATCTTCTGAGTACAACAATGTTATTATTCATTATATATTAGAAATACAAACGCAAAACAAATTCATACATCATCTAATTGTGCCTGAGAAACAGATAAAACCACCAAGACATTTGCTATTGGGACACAATTTCCTACTACTCAAAATACATTCCCCTACAGAAAGAAATGTTTAAGCTTCTAACTGTGAATCCATCACTGTGGTTATTGTAATACTTAAAACTTTTCAATGGTTTAAGCTGATGAGGTGCATAGGAAGCACCAGATCAGATCCCAATATTGTAGTATCTGAAAGTTTATTTTAACCTCAATACCCGAGTTCTAATTAAGGACGCAGAGTGTAACCCACAAACCTCTACTGAAACATTACAAGTCCATTCCTAGTAGCATGGATATGTTCTTCAGAAACCACACCAATCTCTCTAAATAACTAACCAGTCTATGCTGACTCTCAGGGACTACAGTTAAATATTAGCTCATGTGGTAAGAAGAGGAACTCTGAGTGACAAACCCCTACCACAAGGAAAGATTATTTTTATTTAGCAATGGCAGAATGTAAAGCTGTAATAAGTATTAAATTATCATTTTCTACCTGGGTCACACAGGGAGCATAGAAAAATATAAAAAAGCAAGGAGGCTGGTATCACCCAGACTTTCTAAAACTAGGGAGAAAGCCCCACTGAATGATTGAAACTTGCTTCTGAACACCTTGTAAAGTACCGCATTGTGTCTTTGTTCTTTTCCTGCTGAAAATTGAGGAGCAGCATTGAGAAGAACTGTTGACTATCTTCGGTTTATGATGCAGCTAGGTTAAACATGTTTTACTTCATATTGTTTTAATCCATCATACTTTAAAAGCAATATTTGCCATCCTGATTTTGTTTTTAAAATTTGATTTTTTTTAAAAAAAAAAATCCAGTTGATCAAATAGAAGCTGCCATGCTGCAAAACACTATGTCAGGCCCTAATTATTTTTTTTTTTTTCATGAGTATTCCAGGGCCCAATCTTCTAGAAAATAAAAAATGCTAACTAGCTCAATGCTAGCATATTACTTGGAAATGTGACTACTTGCCTAAAAAAAACCAAAATGAGTTAGCTGGTAGTGATTCTGGAAGTAATTTTGGGAAGTCACTTTTCTTCTGGTAAATCTCATATTAGCTGTGTTCCCCATGACAGAAATTTTTTGGGAGGATCTCTTTGGTCCCACCTTTTTGTGAGTGTTCCTGCAACATGCTCTCAAAATTCCAAATGTAGCCTGGTCTGAATTAACTTTTCAAAATATACTTACTGAAATACTTTTCAAAGCATATTTTATTCCAAAGTTCTGATTTGTTCTCAAAATCAATTTCTTCAGAGACTTGTGTTTATTACAACTGACATCTCTGAATATTATTCCCCTTGATCAATCTGATAACATATTACTGTTTCATGCAACAGCAGTACATACAATAATATTGCCCTGTGAGATAGGATTTGAATTCATTCTTCTGTTGGGAATATTATTTAGTAGAGCTTATTTTATGCATGAACAAGGATGTATTCCCTTCTTTATTGACTATTCAACCATAAATATGTAGATATGTAGATCATTTCTTGCCCAAAACAGCTTATTAGCCTGCTCTGAGTCAGGCTATGTGATCTGACGATGTTGATATTACCAATGATCAATAATAATCATTGCTCCCACCCTATGGAACATTCCTCCCCCCAAAGGTGAGGTAGGTCCCCATTCTCCTGGTCTTTCGAAAATGGTTCTGCTGTCTCACTTGGGGTCATGGGAGAACATGCAGCCATGGGGCTGGTAGTACCCTGAAGGCTCTCCTTCTGCCTTTTAATTAACTTTTAAAGTTGAATTTTAACTATCTTGTCTCTTATTTAAATTTTATATATAGCTTTTATGTTTTAATATTTTACTTGTATATTGCCTAGAGTCCCTCTATGAGGGAGATGGGCAGTTCTAAATTTGATAAATAATAGCAACAATAACAGTAGTGCCTTCTGAAACCAGTCTACAAGTACCATGGTTGTAAAACCTGATACATTTCATTTGCTTGCAAAACATGATCATATATTTGTGGAGCAAATACCGTAACATATTTGACAAGTTATTTAATTGCTGCTGTTGCTGCTGCTGTTTTGGACTGTACTTGATAAGGTTGCTAAGGGGATTACTACCACATTACCGGATTTTCTGTGCATAGTAACTACAAGGCAATCACTCATAAAGTAACTTGAATTGCTTTGGTCACTACATAAAAGCCCTGCCTAACCATACTTTATTACAGAATGTACAGAACCAAATTGAAATTAAGTGATGTTTAGTTGACTGGATAGTTACAATTCCAAAGGATATTTAATGTTATTTGTAAACAGGCCCATTTTGGCACATTCAACAAAGTTTGGTTTAGTATGATCTCTGAATTTAACTATTCTTTCATTTAATTTCCATCTTCTTTGTGGCCTTAGATACATCTTACGTCTTTATCACATGGGCCTATTTTGCAACGAATCATCCTTTCTTCCTAGTTATCATAAATTCTGAAGATAATTCTGAAGTTTAGGGAAAATTATGAGGTATGTTTGCAGATTCTATCAAATTTACACCTCTAGTTATGACCAAACCCTGAAGTAAATAATAACCCGTTGCAAAATTGTGCATTTCAGAACTCAGGCATAATCTAGGCATAGTGATTAGAGGAAAGACTATTCTCTATTTAAAAAATTCTTGTAAATTCCAGGTTCTCATACACTAAATCCTTGAACTGATATTAATAAAGAACTTCCTACTAGCCCAGAGCAAAGAATCTAAGCTTGACATCCCATTCCTAGACAGGAAGCTTTTTCACCTTTTCCCCTAATGACTAACAAAAACTCTAAACAACAAGATACAAAATAGGTTTGCAGCTCATTCTGGTAGGGGAAAAAAGGCCTCCCTACTGAGCAAAGGAGCTCTGTTTAAGTTGCTATTTGAATTTTGGGGCAAGCAATGAATTTAACTTTGTGACTAAGACCTTGTCTAGCTTTCTCTTTAGTCTGAGGTTCATATCATTAAAAAAAGGTCCATAACCACAACTGTATAAATAGCACCCTGAGAAAAGATTAGTCTTGGCTTCCTCTTTGTTGTGAGCTTAATTTTTTTTTAAACCTACATTCAACATCTGTTTTGCAGGTATAGAATCTGAAGAATCAGGCTATCATGATAGACAAAGCAAGAGAACTGTGCTTGGTCCCTCTACTAAAGCACACCACCCACTATTAAACTTTTGGAAATTGCCAGTAATTACAAGGGGCAATATGTTTCACAGAAATATTAAAAGACATTAGAAAAAAAAAGAACCAATTTACCAATTTACACATTTACCTAGAATCTTACTGATGCTTGAATTGTGCATGTCTGGGAAAGCTTGCAAAATTTTACGTCTTTCATCCTTGGCCCACACCATAAAAGCATTCATGGGGCGCTTTATGTGATTGTTGTTCCTGGATTCAGGGAAATGTCGTGAGCCTGCCAAGAAAGGACCAAAAAACAGTTCATTAAACTGACCAGACTTGTGGGAGTTTGTGAATTCTGGAAATTGCAAATGGGGGTCATACATAGTAGAGTTGTCACGTCTGCTGTATACAAAAGCTGATTACCTATCAAATTTAGACGAGTCGTGAGGTTTTGGCACCATTAAAAAATCCTAACTCAGCTACTCAAGTACAGTTTTCATTTATTAAAGGAATCTTGCTTAGATTTTCTCTTCAAAATTCAACATTGGTGAAATTTGTGAGAAAAAGAAAAAAATGTCATTACCATCTCCTTCACATGTTAGTAGAGACTCATCCAGTCTGTGAAGAGACGACTCGTCCATCTGTTCTTTTCCAGGTGAAGAATCCAAATTGCTATGATCCTGAAAATACAGGGTTTTCTGCATGTTACCAAGGTAAGCAACATTAAAACTTACTATAGGAAGTCTTCGAATTACAATCATTCGTTAGTGACTGTTCAAAGTTATAATGGCACCAAAAAAGTGACTTATGACTGTTTTCCATACTGAATGAACACTGCTGCATCCCCATGGTAATGTGATCAAAATTCCACTTGGCAACTGGGGTCATGTGATCACCTTTTTATTATTATTATTTATTATGCAATTTTCTTTGTTATATATAAAATTTCCATATCCACAATGGCAGTGTACTTTGTACTGACAGAACACAGTACACTGTGTCAGTACCCAGTATACTAACTGGGTACAATCTCTTTTAAATACAAATAATAAATCTTATAAACACAATAGCTATAACCATTATTCTCAAAATCTATTCACCATAATCTTCACATATCCTTATTAAACATTTTTTGTTATTTAATTAAACGCTCTGTTCGGTTTTGTCTATAATTAGTTAATATCAAGCATTATAAACATAATATAACCATCACATTTGTAACCATTATCGTCCAGGTCTATTAATCATAATGTTTACTTATCCTCATTATTCAATATTCATTATTTAATTACACATTTACTTCATTTTTATTTTCATGTCCTCCTGAATTCTAAATTTCTTCTTCTATTTTCTAACCATTAATAAAATAATTCCCAAGTTAAAAAGTATTCTGTTTCCTGTATTCTGTGATCACCTTTTGAGCACTTCTGATAAGCAAAGTCAATGGGGAAGCCAGATTCACTCTACAACTGTTACCAACTTAACACCTGCAGTGATTCACTTAACAACTGTGGCAAGAAAAATCATTAAATGGGGCAAACTCACTTAATAACTGTCTCACTTTGTAATATTGGGCTAAATTGTGGTAAGTTGAGGACTACTTGTACCAATTACGTATTTATAGAAGCACTTAACCACCTTAAACCTAGATTTTTAAAATAAATTTTGCTATATATTAAATTATCAAAAGAAAATGGCCTTATATGATTTCCTAAAATAGGGCCTGTATAGTCCAAATCTTCTGGACAGGGAATGATAAAAGAAAGACTACAGGTAACATTATCTGAACAAAAAGAATCTTGGAAATAAGGTATTTTATAATTACAGAAAAAAATGTTTCAACAAGAAAAAGGAACAATTCAGCAAACATTCTGGAAAGCTTTTGTAAATAATACCTTAAAACAGAAGTCTAAAGAATAAAATGACTTTTGAATAGCTTTATGGAGTATTGTAATAGAACAAGTATTTTATGAACTTTAAGTTTAGACTTAAAATGTCAGAATATGGAGTTCTTTTTACTTTTAAAAGCATTTTTTCTACAACCTCTTCGGCCGAAGAGGTTGTAGAAAAAAAAATGGCTTTAAAAGCCTCTGGCGATCCCAGCTGAGTTGGCTGATCATCAGAGGCTTCTAAAAGCATTTTTTTCTGCAACCTCTTAAGGTTGTAGAAAAAAATGCTTTTAAAAGTAAAAAAAAAAAAAAGTTGGCCACGCCCACCCAGTCACATTACCCTCCCCCATCAAGCCATGCCCACAGAACTGGTAGTAACAAATTTTAGATTTCACCCCTGGTCAGGGATGTGTTGAATAAGAATTAGGAACTTATACATTTTATCCAATTATTACATTGTCTAAAATGCTACCCTAATATAAACCATGTCCAATTAGCTCATTTTTTAGAAAATCCTGAACTGAATTTTTTTGAAGGTCCATTCATTACTATTCACATCGCAGACAATGGCTCTCAAAAACCCAGATACCAGAGTTTTTTTTTAAATTGATGAACCGCTTTCATTAGATTCTTGATATTTTTCGTTCTTCAAAATTCTAATCTTCATTCAAAGCTTTGTGTCAAAGAAGGTATTCTTTCTTTTTAACAAAATCAATATCACTTACCTTAATGTATGGATGATTTGGAGAACCATCTATAGCTCTGCTTTGGTTGTGCAGAAGTTGCTGAGCATCTTGTATTGCTTTTGTTATAGCATCTCCTTCTCCAAGGAACCCTGATATTTAAAAAATACAACAGGTGATCAACTGATATTTAATATCTTCATGATGATCAGCAGTGCAAAGAAAACTACTAAAACAAAGAAATAACACTTGGGCTGCCAAATCAAGGCTGCAAAAATCCAGACAACCGCTAGATGGCAGCAAAAGGCTACTACAGCACGGGTGTCAAACTTGCAGAGTCACATTGCCGTCACATTGTGACATTTCATGATGTTTTTCCCATTCGCGGTGCTGGGATAGGCGTGGCCTGCGTGTGACGCATCCGGCCCGTGGGCCACCATTTTGACACCACTGAGCTACAGGAAATCACTGAGTTTGCTGCCATCACCCAGAATTTTATAGCCTGGTTACAATAGCTCTATCCTGCATTTTCCATAAGCATGCCTTGACTATAGCAATTTTTTTCCTCTAGCTTAAAGTTAATTTTCTTTTAGAATCAGTGACTTTTTTTTCTCATCAGAAAAAGAAATATTTATGGTGCAATCCTGTAATTCCTAGGATGATGATACATGAGTCCTATGTGAACTTCTACTTACATTACTGGCATGTGAAATCTGCAAGGAGGTTTTTCCTGAATGTCAGAGGTGATGTAGACAGACTACTGTGGCTACTGGCAGTTGTCCATTGTTAGAAAATAGAAAGAAAAATAATTCCAGCCCTGAAACTTTTGTAATTGACTGCACTCCATCTGGAGACGACATGAGATTTTCAACACAAAAAAGACTTCAATTCTAATTAATAAAAGCCTGGAGGGCTCAAGAATTATGACTTTCCTTCTTCCGCATGACCAAAATTGCTGTGCTTGTTATCTTGTGCCTTCAGCTATCATGAAACAGCAGAATATGCATCTGAAAATATGCTACAATGTCTCTACAAATTCTGCACCACATTAAACTTCAGACTAGATTTACGCTTCTCTTCAAGAGTGCAATAAACTTATGTTCTCATTTGGAGTGATTAGAGTACTCTAAGTATCTGCTAACTTCATATTAAATCTAGGAGCCTTGAACTTTATAAATTGCAAATATTTCAAAATCATGGATATCCCAAAAGATGATCTAACACGTTAGATATTTTGATTTGGATATATGAGCACTCCTGCAACATGAAAGATTCTTGGTTGATCTACATCAAATTTGTCTCTCTTGATTTGTAGAAATTCTCCAAGTTTTCCCAGACATATTTGGAGATGTTGAGGACAAAATATTTTACATGCACAGTACATGCTTCTTCCTCTGAATTGGCAGTTTCTCTTCTTCCTTCAGCACTGGTGAATTCACAAGATAAAATCCCAAAAGGAATCTTGAGGAAAGCCGTATTCATCCCTTCCTAATCTAGGGATGTCAAGAATTCTTCCCCAAAGAAAAATCAAGAGCGTATGCTAATAAAGCACAGGTATTTCGTAACAAGTTTACAACGAGAAGTCAATCAAATATGCATTTCTTTTCCAACTCTAAATCAGAGGAACAGACCTACCCAAAGGAAGGCTGGGAGGGCTGGTCTGCAACTCTCGAGAAACACCACTGAGGGACTGACTGCTGCTAATCTTTAAATTAGGTGTGCTGGAGGCATTGGGGGGTTCAGAGCCTTTAGACTTTGCTGTTAAGTTCAATGGCTGTGAAGATTCCTGAAAACAAAATAGAGAAGGAAGATAGAAACATTTTTCTACAAGATTTGGAGACCTAAGGAAAAAGACAATTAAGAGGTTTTACCTGGATCTGTAGGTGGCCTGAGCTTGCAGGTCTCTTCAGTGCTGAAGGAGAGGGGCTATGAAGCAGCTGCATAGGATATTCCACTGTAGATTGTAAAGAAACAGAAGAATTGGAGATTGTGTACAATGTTAAGCATAAACTGAGATCCTTATTATGTCAACAGTGAATCAAGAGGGAATCTGCTGTAAGTACAATGAAACTCAACCTGGAATAAAGTAAAGAGGCCAAATTTGTGCATCTGTCCCCAAACATGTAAAAAACATGTCCTGTTTGTACATTACAGCAACGGGTTTGGGGGCACCAATCATCAATTTAATAAAGTAGTGAATTGTTCTTAGTTCTATGGAATTAAGACTATTAGATGAGAGGGATTTAATTTAGTGATAGCTGACTTTTAATATTAGATTAAAAGGGATCTAAACGCAACTACTACGGTAACACCAGGTATAACCAAATTTAACTCAGCTTTATTATAATTATATTCTATCTTGCAGTGAAATACAATACAAAACAGTACAATAATATTATATGTCATATGGTATAGTGGGTAAGAGCAAATTTAGTGTAGTGGTTAAGGTATCAGGTTAGAAAACTGGGAAGTTGTGAGTTCTAGTCTGCCTTAAGCATAAAGCCAGGTGGTTGACCTTGGACTAGTCACTTTCCCTCAACCCTAGAAAGAAGGCAATGGCAAACCAATTCTGAAAAACCTTGCCAAGAAAACTGCGGGACTTGTCCAGGCAGTTTTCTGAGAACTAGACACGATTGAATAATGGGCAAAAAGAAAAAATAACAAGACAGTATCAAAATTCATTACTGTACATTATTTCATGTTATAATAACAAAATAGAAATATTATTTTATATTGATTTTAACACACACTAATGAAAGGGAAGACCACTGATTTCTGCCCATCACCCTTCAATCTAGGTGGAACTTTATTGTTGTATACCGTGTTTCCCCCAAAATAAGACATCCCCTGATAATAAGTCCAATCGGGCTTTTGAGCACATGGCAATAAGGCCAAGCGCTTATTTCATGGTTCAAAAAAATATAAGACAGGGTCTTATTTTTGGGAAAACACAGTAATAACACACAACAAAGCCTACAACAGGTTCCTTCTGCCCCTTTTTATACCCAATTGAGCCAAGCCAGGATTATCTTGAGTTTCTTTTTCATGACCTGTTTCCTCTCAGTATAAAGTTGCCACATACTTAATGGCGTGTGTGTTTCTTCTTTAACATGATCTCCATACTACTCTATTTCTACTCGGCCAGTGAGAATGGTGCTATTGCCACAAAGAGCTTACAGTATGTCAAAAGAATCCGAAGCCCTTCTACCATAGGCTTACGGATGCTCCTATAGAAGGAGCAGTAGAGAAAAGCACAAGCCGATGTTTCTTTTATGCCTGCTACACAGTGGCAGAGTATTTTTCACTGAACAGAGTATTCTTCTATTTACCCTTGAGAACTGCTGAAAGGGGGATGTTAAAACCTGCATGGTTGAACATTTGGCAATACTTTAGGAGACGAAGCTGTTGGAAACAATCATGCTGGTTCTGTATTATGTAACCAAACTCCAGCTATTACATTTGCAGATTGTCTACCTTGATTTTCTTACAAATCCATGTTAATAAACCTTAGAAGAAAAGCCCATTTTGTAGTATTTTTCACTCTATCTTTCATTTCCAAGATACGTGGAAAGGCCCTATCAATATTGAAAGGTAAGGTTTGTGTGTTGAGGGGGGGATCAGTTTTAACCATTAAATACAGTATTCTGACTCCATTTTTATTGACTGAAACATTATAGAATTGATTCAACATAGATTCATGTAGTCTCATGGTTTTCAATGGCTGCAACTAATTGTGAATGCTCTCTCTTCCCATCCCAAGTCCACTGTATAAAAGCCTTGGGAAATCCATCATATTAATCAGAATTCCACTTTTCTTGGCCTTTTCATACCTGGCTTACACGGAATTGGCTGAATAGGAAGTGCCATCTGAGAATCTGGAGTGACAGGAAGAGGGTGGTGGTTGGGAGGAAAGGCTGGAATCATGACATAGGGCATATTGACCTGCTGAAAAGAGTAAGGGAAGTGGTGGACACAGAAATAGATATAGAGCATATGAAATTGTAACAATGCTACTTATCCAAACAGCCATTTTTCATATCCACTAGAGTCAGTAACAGAGATGTATATCACTTTCTCACTTCATACCCATATTACAGTATCAAATGTTAGGTACTTAATGTAAACATATTTAAGGAAATGCAAAACTTGTATTATTCATACTGCAGTGGAAGGAATACTGAAGTTTTTCATCAACTTGAAAAACATTCTTAGTATGTATTTCTTTGCTAAAAGTGAAAGGGGGGTGGGTGGGAATATGAATTGAAGGAGGACAGGATTGGCCCTTTACTCCCATATCAAGGCTTCAAGTCCAATCACATTTAGTCTGAACTAAATCCTAATGACTTCACCGGCACATGCTTCACAGTAAGGCACTGTGGATCTCAACCTCTTACATTTTGAAAAGCTACATTTAATTCATCATTATCAAGACAGCAATTGCTTCTATGTTAATTTCTGTACATCTAAGGGGGAAACAATCTGCATGTGGCACTATTACTCTTGTCTTGGCACTAAATCTTTTGTCTTCCAATTTTTAGGTGAATGCCTTCAATTAAGCCACGCTTTAGTCCTATTCCCCAAAGAAAATGAATAACATTGTACCTGGATCTGCTGCTGCAGCAAATTGATCTTGTGTTGTTGCTGGATAAGTTGTTGTTGTTGCTTGGCAATCTACAAGTAGGAAAGATGAGGTGGAACCAAGATCCATACTAACTGAACTACATACCTTAGGGCCACTTGGGCACAATGTTCACTTCTATAAAATAAAGGGAAAGCCACAATTCATGTGGCAAAAACAAGAACAGCTCATGTAAGCAGAACCTGAATGCACGGATGCAAGTGATAACAAGTGTTGTTTGGAAAAGCAAGACACTGGTGAAGGAATAACATATTTCCCATTTAGATTTCTCATCTATTTCTCCATCATTATTACATAGAATTCCAGTGATGAAATTACCATACTGAATAGCTGTAAGAAGGTGAATAAGCACATATTTGACCTATTAGTACCCAGACATACAAGTTATCGGAGTGCAGTGAAGTAAAACATTGTGCAGGTTACATCACAATTTGGCTTGAAAATATCAACAGTGTATAACTTTAAAGGAAGTTTGATGTCTCAGGCAGCATCCTAATATTAGTCTCATCCTAAACCTTAAGCTTTGTGGATGTATTTAAAATTATGGCTTGCTTTCATCTGTTAAGAGAAGTTGTAACTGGAGCAACAGCCCTATCCATTCCTCTCTGTTATTTCTGCACAATAAGACAGCAAAACATTTTATGAGCATTAAAAACTTGTTCAATTTACAGAATATCCCTGCAGCTTTCACTCTGAATATGCATATTTAGGATTTTATAATATCCTATTTATGTAGACTCTACACCAGTGGTGAAATGCTTCTGTGGGAGTGGCTTGGTGGGCGTGACTGGGTGGGTGTAGCCTTTTTTATTCTTTTTTTAATTTTTTTTTTAACTTTTTAAAGCATTTTTTACTACCTATTCACCTGAACCGGTAATAAAAAAATGCTTTAAAAAGTAACAAAAAGGTTCCAACAATCACAGCTGTGCTGCGCTCGCCCGAACCAGTAGTTTTTATCACTACCGGTTCGCCTGAACAGGAGTGAACCAGTAGCATTCCACCCCTGCTCTACAGCCTGTTGCTTATTAACATACTACAATACACAATTGGTATTTTTTATGTCTTTAACTTTTGCAGCTAGAGGCTACGCTATATTTAATTGGGGGGGTGGCCTTCAAGAGCTACAGAGAAGGTGGGACATTAGTTTTCAGCCCTTGATTTTTTGGAGTTGTGGGGTGGGAAATTGAGTAAAGCAGGAATATTAAACTAGAAAAATTCCTGTTTCATATTATGAAAAAATCATGTCATAAAATTATCATTTGCTACTAAAAATGAACAATATTATCTGAGAAGATTCTAAGGCCCACAAAAATGGCCACAGGTTTATTTATTTATTTATTTCGTTGCATTTCTATGCCGCCCAACTCCCAAGGGACTCTTCCCTGATATAAATATTTGTTCTATTTCTAAACCGTTTGCTTTTTCAGGCTGATTTGAGTTAGATATAGACCTATTAACTTATTTAGCTGTATTATATTCTATACAATTTGAAGTTCAAGTGCCAATAAGGAAACCTTCTGAAGACAAATCTCAAAGGCTAAGAAGGATAAATATAGCCACAAAGTAGTGTTTTATTACCTACCTGTTCTTGCTGTTGCCTGGCCAGCTCCATCTGTTGTTGCTGCTTCTCAAACAACATAGCGGCCATGTTCTTCTGCTCTGAATGGGCTGTCAGCAGCTGGTCCCTCAGGATAGACAGCTGGTTAATCATGACCAGCAGCTGTAATTCTTTCTCTGCCAAGCTTTCTTGGGTTCCTGAATCAAGCAAAAGAAATAGAGAAGAGATTAATAGTGAGGGAGGGAAGTAGTGAAATTTCATTCTGAAACATTAAGGTTGTCCTCTTAGTGGGTATCCTGCAAGTATTAAAAAATCTAGGGGATTTCCTTTGAGAACAAAGGAAAACAGGGGAGACCTGCTTTGCCAAGCCTTAGGTCTGACATAAAAAGTCATGCAACATGCACTTTACATTTGGAAATCCAGATCCTGGAGAGCGTAAAGAAAGAGGTGCTTGTGTAGATATAAGATGCTGTAGATCTACAAGATCCAAACCAGTTTATTTTTTTAGTTTTTATTGACAGATAATTGTACTCAAAGATGCACAGAATTGTGTATCAATTTGTTAAAAAGATGAATTCTCAATGTGGTTATGTGACTAGTTCAGCCTTTCTCATCCTGGTGCCTGGCAGATACTTTAGAATACAACTCCTAAATTCTAACTAGCACGCTGGATCAGAATGTAGGGATATGCCTGGAGAGTACAAAGTTGGGGGAAATTATAATAACATCATAATCTAATAATGGGAAACCACTTCTTGGATTGAACTGTTTTTTATCCTTTAGTAAATTCAGAATTCTCTGAATTCTGATGGTATGAATTTAAAAATGTCTTGGCTTTGAATTTAGCTTAAATAAAGTAGAAAAAAGAAGGGTTTTAAATTCTAATTGGGTTAGTTTTCTCTGTTCTGGGCATTAATACATTCACAATTGAGCTAAACCTCTTGCTCACCTTTTACCTCTTTGGATTCCATAGGATTTTTCCCCAGAAGTCTCTCTTTCCATTCACTGGAAAGTAACTTCTCAATGGTCGGCATCACTGTTGTAAGAAAATATGACAGCCCCAATAAGTAGGTTTGCAATTGAGAAATATAATAGTTTTTTTAAAATATCATAATGCATAATAATAGAAATGAAGACTAGGTTGGCTGGTGGTGGATACTACAAGGACCGACCAAGATAATCAAGGAAATTGGTGGCTTTAATTAAGCATCTGATTAACTAAATTAAGCTTCTGAATGCAAAAACTGGGATGACACATACATTCCCCTGACTCCTGTAAATCTAGTGTTATTTAATTTATAACATTATAGTTACTTCTAATCTAATGGGATTGAGCAAACATAATCATTTAAAAATATTACACATTTTTCAAGGTAGCTATTTTGCAAAAATAATCATTTAAAAATTATCACGTTTCAATGTAGCTATTTTCATAAGCAGCAACCAAGAATCCACTCCAAGAATAAAAATTTATAAAGGTGTATTAGGAACTACATTTCTTTTTGGCAGGCTAGTTCTCTGCCTAATGTAACACTATACATCCTATTTGTACAACATTGCTTAATTTTGCAATTGGAGGATTTTAACTGGCGATATCATGGGCCAGTGTTGCAATAGTTTTAATTTTTTTTAATGTCACTGCTCATTGTGAAGTCCTTTTAGCCACCTACAAAAGAAAACTTCAAAATGCAAAGAACTGTGCTGACCCCAGAAGTGTGTACATGTCTGTATTAGGTTAAAGCAAAAAACAAAAAACAACCGTCCTTTTAAATTTACAGCTGACAGTATAAAGATCTGGCAAAAGATATTGTACAAAAAACTGTGTCCAGTTTTAATAGTTTTCTTAAGCACCAGGAGCAGACCTTTTGAATCTCAGTAGGACTTAATTGACTATTCAAGATCAAGCCACCCCCAACATACTTTGCATTATAACAGGAATTGCTCACAACAATATATTCTTCTTGGGAATGTCTCCCAGCTCCCCCTCTCTTAGTATGAGGATTGCAGCTAAATTCAGAGGGAATAGGGAAACCCATGATTGTTGCCAGATGATGTCATTGCCTTTATAAATAAAAAAGACATTTCATTCTCACCCCTCCCACCAGCCCAGCTCCACAACACTGCCAGAGTCTGAATATCATGGGCCTCATGATCTCAAAGCAAGTACTCTACTACACAATTATGTCTCTTCCCAGCAAGTAAAAGAAGAAAAGCCCAAAAGAAAACAATCTGTAAATGGATGTGTATGGTTTTTGGTCTGGAAACCTCTTGTGCGGGAGAAATATCATGTCTGTAGAATGTCCTTCTTACCTTCTCTTAGATTTTTATTGAAATCCAATTTTTCCTGGTGGCTAACGGCAGGCTCGAGCACAGGGTTCCTGGAATCTAATGCCTTGTCCACTGGAGGTACAGATTCCTGAAAGATAGTGAGCCACTGTCAATCACCAGCACCCTGCAGGAAATTAAAAAGGGAAGGATAACAGATATGCTTATCTTCAGTCTTACTTTCAAGCAGGGTTTGTCCAAACAACCTCTAGAGTGTAGCAAAGGAGCTGCAGACCTGGCTGGTGACTTAGAGAGCTGATTTAACAGTTGAGGAGATCACTGAGGTTTCTCTCTTTCTCTCTCTCATTCTCTTTCTTTCTTTCTTTCTTTCTCTCTCTTACCCCCCCACCCCTTTTCTCCTCAAAGTGCTTCACTTCCCTAAATTAAAAGTGACTGGGTCCCTTGGGAGTGACAAGGTATGCTTCATGTACACACGTGCCTGAGACAAGATGGCCCACCTGTGGGAGAATTAGGGGATCAACAAAGTCACCCAGTGGCAAGGGTGATTTACTGGGGCTGTTGGAGACAGGTGATGTGCAAGGAGCCTCCCCCTGAGTCAACTTGTAGTGGCTCTCGTTCTTTTCTTCTGTTTTAACGTTGCAGTTCACCATATTCCCAGCTCCATTAAGCTCCAGCTGAGGAGAGACAAGGCTCCTCATGGACATCCTGGACGACAAGGGAAACAAAATAAAGAGATTATGAAAATGTGTAAGAAAAGAAGGGCCATAAACTTCACTCACTTTAAAGAAAGACCAGTGTTCCAAATGTGAATCCAACCATAACAAGGTTTCAGGCAGGCTCAGAAATAATCAGATGGCTGTTACTTCCATTGAATCTTTTTAGACATCAACAGAACAGGACTCCAATTTGCATAGAGCATGAATATGCTAAATTATACATCTGCTTACTAATTAAATCTATCTTCTGTCTTACCTCCAGATTCCTTTAACTTCTCTACAAAACACAAGAAATTAGTAATTTGGGATCAGAAATAATGACTGCCCCAGGATCATCCAATGAATTTTCATGGCTGAAGGTCCATTTAAATTTGGGTTTCCCCAGTTCTAGCCCAATACATTCATCAGTAACCTATGCAAGCTCTCACACCACACTTGCTGCACAGGTTGAAATAATAATTAGAATTTCAAAGAACATAAAACAGCCTTCCATTAGCGAAGTTTGTAACAAAGTAATCTGTGTTCCTATATAGGATACTATCCAGACACTTAACTTTTGGGATGCATTTAGAAAGCCTCAAATATGTGATTTCCCATTTATACCTCAATTCCAGATTCGGCTTTGTTCTGGAAAGAGACTTATCTTTTATAAGAAGCCACCTCTTCATAACAGCCATTTATTAAATCAAGTGCAAGGTCAAATACCCCATACGTATTTTATGCAGAGCAACAGACATGCAATATTTTTCCTGCACCAAGGCAAGAAAATCTTGCTCTGTACCCCTCAGAAGCAAAGCACTATTGTGCAGCCACACAATAATTTTCTAGTTCTAGAAAGACAAAACAGCAGAAGCACAAAGGTTTAGGGGGCAAAAGCAGCCATCATAACTGGCCAAGTGCCACCATCATTGCCACTTGGAGTTCTGGAAAAGCACAGGGCAGTAATTACATAACAAACAAAGCCTGTCTCAAGCTGTGAATTAATCAAACTGCTGAAAATAAAACCTTCCTCTCAGGAACTTCAGACAAAAGAAATGAAAACAACAGGGCTGGCTGGGTAATGAAAAGCCAGCACACTGAATGGGGGACAAAAGGAAGTTGAACAATAGGGTGTTGGACAAAAGCAATAAAGTAAAGGGAAGTGTGACAGCTGAACAATGAGGCACTGTGCACGCCAGAGTTTCTGATCTTAGCAGGCTTTTTTATCTCAGTTCCCTGCCCTTCTATGAACAAATCATTGTGCTTTTCAGGCTATTGGGTTTCCTTTGCCATTTGCTTTTTGGCTCCTGCAGCCATTCCGGTTAGAAGCCTATGCTTTTCCATTTTCAGTCCTGTGTGTCCCTATCCATGCTGCAGTCCACCATTGACCAAACAGATTCATCTTATGAAGACAAAAGGCATCCATGTGTTAGGGAGGCACACAGATAAGTGACAGTAATTCACCCCCCCCAAACATACGTCCAATAAGACATGCCAGCTGATTACTATAGCCTTTAGCTTTCTCTTGCTCTCTTTCTCTCTCTGGATGATAACAATATAGGTCTTTCTGCCTGTGGCATGATACTGTCAAAGGAGAGAATCTTGGTCTTTATTTGTCCCTATTGTTTTACCTTGTGCTCAGAAGACATGGCTAGGAGGATACAAGCATACTGGATTTTCTTGATGCAAAAAAAGGGCACTTCCAACTAGGATTTGGGGGGGGGTCGTTGCTTTAATTTATGGGTATCCAGAAGATTTAGACAGCATATCCAAATTCAAACAGCCAAATAATACAAGGAATTGCTATATGACTTTCATGTTGATTCCACAACTAAATAACACCGAATATGCAGTTATAGTATTTCCTGTGAAGCATTTTGCTTGTTTTTATCTATGTCCATATGCACACTTCCCATATATAAATCTTTCTGTGTACAATGGAGTTTACTTCAAGTTACACAGGGGCTGAACCTGCACATGCATAATAGGACATAAATATATAAGGAAAAATGATTAGAGAAGTTTAAAGAACAAAAGCAATGTAGTCTATTTATGATCATGGTAGAAACAAGGATGTTGTGTAAGAACAGAAAGGTATGGGAAGATGCCACATGCACCCCTCTTTATTAAAAAGAAGTAGATGCAACACATCCATCTGAAGAACCCCCAACAATGCAGGAATCAGGCATCTAGGCAATCTCATTGACGGATAACCCTGGAGGAGAGATTAAGCATTCATTTTCATAATTACTGCAGGAGAACAAATAAGAAATTTTGTGACAAAATATATTCTATATATACTCAAGAAACATGTTAATCTGTTATGGCCTTGTTAGCTATTTTTTTAAGAAAAAACTTGAGAAAGGTATCTCAAATCCTTGCCATAGAATTTATTGCAGTGTGACTTTTGTTTTGTTTTTTTTTGCTTCCAGCATACAATGTTTTGAAGTGAAGTATCAATAAAAGTAAACTATATGAGGATTGATTACTCACAGAAACATGTTACTTAAGTAAATATAACATTTATAGGTTTATAAAGCTAAGCAAGAGAACCTGTTAACTACAATGTAATTCCAAAAGGAGAAAGAATCAAGTTTATGTGCATATAACACTTATGTTTCTAGTACAGCATATTTAGTATCTTGATAACTGCTCCTCGTCACCAGTGGTAACATTCATTAGTTCATTACGGTCATTCAGAATGGAATTGCTTCCTTAAAACACAGTGCTTCCCAAAGCATAGGCTATGGTTGTACAGAATGAGGTTCATGAAAGTTTTACTGTAATCCAATATATCCGGAAAGTGAAAAGTTGAGAAAAGTCAAAGCAAGGAGCATTATCATCTTTTCTTGGCCTTATATGTATGGCAGAGTATATGCTTTGTCATGCATTTTCAACCAGCTATGGAAACTTTAGTTGCATCCTACTGTTGTTGTTTTTTTCATTAGAATAAAAAGAACAATTTAAAATTTTTTTTTTTAGAATAGAATTTTAAATTGCATTTAGAAGTAACTAGTAAATCAAATGCCTGGCTAAATATATTTCACGTTATAAGCAAAATATAATTTTTTAAAAAAAATAGAAAATAGATTACCAAGGAGACTATAACTGATACAAGTTTACAAAGGTTAAACTCTTTCATCATACCCGGAGATATTTAAACAGATAGGGCAAATATCAACTCAAAGACACTGAGAAAAAGGAACTATATTCAGATATAATTGCAGGAATTGACTGAAATGATAAAAACATATTGGTAAAGACTTGTGCACCTATATATTCTTCCTGTTAGGCATTAACTGCTGATGGACAACTTTATAACTCCTGCCCTCTTTTTTTAAAGGTTGCTTTATTTTTAATTTGATTTGGCTTAAATAAAGGATCCCTTTAAATAGAGCTCTCTCGTCTAAAGTAGGACACATCCACATTCCAATGTTTAAATTGAGCACATTGTCTTGAATATTTACTCCTACCTCTGGCCCAGAGGCATCATTACCAGAGATTTCAATGGTTTTATATGTCAAGGCCGGGGTCTGTTAACAAGGGGTCCTAGCTACATTTGCAAGCATCCTGTATTTGTTGCTTTGATACCTCAATGTTGCATGCAACAGGAATAAAAATGAGCTTTAGCAGATGCACCTTTCTCTTCCAGATGCAAGAAATGTTAGCAGGGCAGACTGCTCCACACTGCAGTAAATTGTACATGCAGAGCCTCAGGCCACCTTCCTCAAGTTATCATACCATTCGTTTTACAGAACAACTCAAAGGGTTTGCAGAAGGTCAGCGTGAGAGAAACGTAAAAAGGATCTTCAGGGCACCCTGTCCTGCAAAAATACAATGAGCAGAGATGAAAATGAATTGAACATAAAGAAGCTTGTGCTTTCGTCCCAGTCCTTATTACTTCAGAAACCCTGTTGAATGCATAACCCTATTATGCCAAGGGGGAAAGAAAACCATATTCTTGTTTGCAAGTCTTGCTTGCTCGCCCACTGGTACGTAGCCATGTAAGGGGACTGCATTGTCATCCAGACAATGGGGGAATCAAGAACAATCAGCTGGTGGTGAGCTGAAAATGTATTCATTTTAAAAGAGCACACAAAAGGAAAGTTTCAATCCTCCAGTGGGTCAGATTTCTATTGTGCTTAGCATTTGTACCACTGGAAGTTTACTCTTAAAATGGGCTTGCTGCTTTAATAGGTGTGTGTTTGAAAGGAGGCTCATTGTATTTTTATTACATGGTTTGCTGAACAAAAATACAGCCAGTTATACTTGTTCAAGGCTTGTTCCAGCAATAGGTCCATTCCCTATTCTAATAGTATCAGGTAGTTATCACAAAAGGCAAGGGAGGGGGAAGAATTGCTCAGAACAGCAAACAATGGGAATGGGGACAATTGGCCTGGCACATGGAAAATGTCTTCCTGTAATAGGCCTTTTTTAATGTTTCTTTTTCTTGCACTGAAAGGGAGGGGGGGAGCAGAGCTCAAAGTCTTCTAATGTACCAGACAAAGGGAAAGGATGTAGCTGAGGCTGAGACTTTTCTTAACAAGATTAAAGCAGAATTTGACACTTGTGTGGATAATAAAACAAGCCAAGCAATGAAGTACTCAAGACAGCAACATAACAAGATTTTTTTCATGTTATTAAATATTTGACATTTGTATAGCTTTGGTATGTAAAAGGTTTCTATGATCAGCAATCTTTTTTTCATTTTGACAAAAATGCTATATCATTGTAATAATTTTTACTTTACAAACCGGATGCTGAGAGTTAAACAGTAAATCCATGGGTCCATCATACGAAGCCCTAAAACAGAGTTTAAAAATCACACAGCATGCTTATATACATTATAGTGTAATGTAAAGTGTGAACCTAGCTAATTACTTTCTAGACAGAGCACATGAAGCTGCTTTTACCAAGTGGGACTACTGATCAATGTAGAACCAGCTGTGCAGTGGGGGTTTTTTGCCTTCTTTTTAAAAAGTTTACTTTTTTTGCCTTAACCGACCATTT